TCAAATTTTGCATTAATCTTGAACATTCCTCCATGGACACTATTCAGATGATTCAAAAGGCCACAGCTAGGGGCAGCTGGTGATTGGCAGCTTCTTCATGACATGCCCACTCATGCAGAGCTTTTTGGCCAAACATCAAATCACCCAGGTGACTCGGCCCCCCTACAACCCAGACTTGGTGCCCTGAGACGTCTAGCTTTTCCCCCAAACTAAAATCACCTTTGAAAGGGAAGAAACTTCAGACCAATGATGAGATTCAGGAAAATACAATAGGGCAGTTGACGGCAATTGGAAGAACTGTGTGAGGTCCCAAGGTGCCTACTTTGAAGGGACTGAGGTGTCATTGTCCTATGTACAATGTTTCTTGTATCTTGTATCTTCTTCATAAATGTCTCTATTTTTTATAGTACATGGCCAGATACCTTCTGGACAGAGCTTGTATAATTAATAATTGCTTCTCATTATACTATTAACAATATTAATGACTATTGTGTATTAATGTTGACTATATAGTATATTTATTATGCAGTATACTAAGGATTTTATGCATCCAAGTATACAGAAGACTCAACAATTTAATATTTTATTTATTTGTTTATTTATTTATTGAGAGGAGGGAGTGAGGGAGAAAGAATGGAAGAGAAACATTGATCTGTTGTCTCTCTTATGTGGCCAGACCAGACCAAACCCACAATGTGGGCATGTGCCCTAACAGGGAATCAAACCAGTAACCTTTTGCTTTGTGGGATGACGCCCAACACACTGAGCCACACTGGTCAGGGCTCCCAACAACTTTGTCATATGGGTGTTGTTACATCCATTTTACAGAAGAGGAAACTGAGGCCTTAGGAAGTTAAGAAACTCTTCCCAGGCAAAGGGGGACTAAATGGTGATAGAAGGAAACTAGACTACACGTGGTGAACACACAGCACAATATACACATAATGCATTATACAATCGTATACCTGAAACTTATTTAATTAACCCATACGTTCAATTTAAAACAAAGACAAAAACCAAAACCGCTCTTCTAACGCCATCACACAGGCAGCCCCCCGGGCAGCCCCGACCCCGTTCTCTCGACCACCCCCCTTCCGAGCCCGTGCTTCGGGGGGTGAGGGGTCTGAAGTAGCTTTGGTTATTGGGGTCAAACTACATGGTCTCTATGACACCAATTCTTTAAAATTTATGGATACTTTAATACACATTCCACGTGTTTAAATATTGTTCTCAATTGCAGTTACTGTATATTGTATTAGTTTCAGGTGTGCAACCCAGCAGTTAGACATCTGTGACTTGCCAAGCGCCCCCCCGGCCCGGACGTCCAGTGCCCCCGGCACCACATGCCGTCATCGCGATCCGACTGACCGTATTCCCTGCGCTGCAGCCATGTGTTTTTTGAAAGGAATGTGCTTTCCAATCGCTGGATGCAACAACTGATAGCTATTGTAGATAAAACTTGTCAGTTGTTATCATCTTGTCTTTATTCACTTGTTGACTTGATTTGCGAATTACTGATGAGATGGGTATCTGTGATGTTTCTTTTTTTTAAGATTTTACTTATTTTTAGAGAGAGGGGAAGGGAGGGAGAGAGGGAAACATCAGTGTGGTTGCCTCTCACAGGCCCCCTACTGGGGACCTGGCCAGCAACCCAGGCACGTGCCCTGACTGGGAATGGAACCAGCAACTCTTTGGTTTGCAGGCCGGCACTCAATCCACTGAGCCACACCAGCCAGGGCTGAGAGTTTTTGTCTCTGACACCAAACACGTGGTGTCCTTTCTTACATCACCCAACTCAATCCTCTGACAATGTCCAACAATTCAAGTCTGGCACAGTTCCCGAGCTGGTGTCAGACCCCGCAGGGCCGAAGACTCAGCCCACAACCTGCCCTCATGGGGTGCCCAGGCCACCCATGGTTCTGCCCGACTTGGCTACAAATTCAGAGGTTCCCATGACCCCCTCCTCAGATTCAATAATTCACTGGAGAGGCTTATGGAACTCAGAAACATTTGAATTACTAGGTCACCAGCTTATTATAAAAGAATGTAACTCCAGAACAGACTCAGGAGAGATGCACAGGGCCAGGTGTGGGGAAGGGCAAGGACTCCTTCCCTGCTCTCAGAGGCCACCACCCGCCCTGCATCTCCATGTGTCCCCCAACCTCTCCACCATGGGGTAGAGGGGTGGGGGGCAGAGCTGTAACTTTAACCCTCTAATCACATGGTTGGTTTTCCTGGCTGTGAAATCGCCTCCTTCACACCCATTCAGGGGTGGCTGACGGGCTTATCAGGAATGAGGAGAAACCTTTACGGCTCTTGTCACAGAAACTCCAGGGCTTTTAGGAGCTCTGTGCCAAGAAGGAGGGCAAAGAGCAAACACGCATTTCATCTCGAACCACAAAGGCACAGATAAAAATATCTTATTTTGCCTCATTCTTTTTTTATAGTACTGTACATATTTTTTAAATTTTATTTTGCAACTACATTTACAATCAGTATTGTTCTGTATTAGTTTCAAGTGTCCAGCATAGTGGGTAGACAATCACATACTTAGCAAGTATTCTCCTGGTATTTCCAGTCCCCACCTAGCACTGCACAGTTATTGTGGTACTACTGACTAATTTTTCAATGCTGCACTTTACATCCCCGAGACTATTTTGCAACTGCCAATTTGTATGTCTTATCTTTTTCACCCAGCCCCCAACACCCATCCCCCACCGACTTCTCTGTACCTATGAGTCTGTTTGTTCACCAGTTTTGCTTAGATCCCACATATAAATGAAATCATACGGTATTTGTCTTTCTCTGTCTTGTTTCACTGAGCATAATCCTCTCTAGGTCCACCCATGTTGTTGCAAACTATGATTTCACTGTTTTTTATGGCCCTTTTGGGGGCTGATAAGTTATTTTTTTCTCAATACATGGAAGATGCTCGCTTTCCTTCTTTTGATAAACCAAGTTTCTTAAAGATTTTTCTTTCTACCTCCATTTAAGACTGCCCCAGTCTTTGGGACTCTGTGCTTTCAGTGAGACCTGAGGAGAGCTTTTTGTTTGTACTGCTGGAGACCTACTGGGATTCCCAAGTTGAGGAATGGCTTCCAACAATTCTGGAGAGCTCTCGGCCTCCGGTCTGCGAACAATGCCCCACCCACACCCTCTCCTCTCCGTGACACCGCCATCTTAGATCACGGCACTATAGCCTTCTCTCTGCCCCTCTTCACCTCATCCACACTGCCACCTCTCTGTCTTTCTCGGCTTGTTTTTGGACCATCTCTTCATTGTAGGATCATTTTTTCAGATTGAACAGCTTCTAATTCTTTGAAAAATGTATCAATGGATTTTTCAAAAAATATTTTATTTGTAGAAGTCTCGATTTTCAGTCTCTTGCATCTTACTAATAGTAAATTCCTTATTTTATTTAAGTATATTAAATAAATATTTTTCATGCTTTGTGTCTGGTTATTTTCATAATCTAAAAATCTGTGGATCTGTTTTCCTGCTGACCTCGTTTCTTTGGAGGTTAAATGCATGTTTCTGGGTTCTGCGGTTTTTCAGCAATGAAGCTCTATCGGTTCCTGAGCCCCTTCTCTGTGTAAGGCCCGAGGAGGACGAGGGTTCCCGCAGCAGGGTCATCCCCGCACTTCCAGGCTCCTGGAAACCATACCATCCTGGGCTCCTTTTTTTGTTGTTTTTTTTTTTTTTTACTATAACCACTTATTTTTTCAGAACTTTACACTTTTTATAAAACAAACTAAAGCAGATGTGAAAACGAGTAGACAGCCTGCCAAGCCCCTACACCAGCCCCCACAGATCAGGGTTCATGAAGCTGGAGGCTTGACCCAACTGGCCCTGGGCGGCTGGCCCAGAGGCACTGGGGGCCGAGCCTTCCGCCAAGTTTCTGTGAAAGCTGGTGCAGTCTGTCCGCGTGGCAGCCTCCTCCTACAAACCACTGAGGTAGGACGTAGAGTGTGTATCTGGGTCTGAACCAAATCCTGTAAGGCCCCTGCCGCCTGGAGGGCAGAGAGGAGAGTTCCAGGAACCCCCCCACCCCGCCCCTGCCGGGAAAGACCCACGGCAGCCTCCTCTCCCCTTCTCCCACAGCCCAGGCTCCTGCCGACGGCTCTGATGGGCCGCCGGCACTGCCGCTCAGCGAGAAGGCTGGGGTCCTCAGCGCACAGCGCGGACTCCGGCCGTGGGCGTGCATCCACCCACGAGGGGCAGCCTGGCCTGCAAGGCTGGCCTCCAGGCTCTGGCCGCTGAGACACGAGGGAACTGGACTGGGCCAAGGCCTCGGCGTCCGTGCAAAGACCAGGCAGTGGTTAAATTTTCACTAAAAGAAACAGATGCAAAGAGGGTGCCAACGGCACAGACGGGACAGGCGGCTGCTCTGGTCATCAGCACGGAGGCCCCGAGTCCCTTCTACACATGCTGCTGGGGCCCTGCCACTCCTGCCCAGAAGGTGACACGCCCTAGCCTCCGTCACCCCAGGAGGCGTGCGTCAGGACAGGACGGCCCGGCCCGGCCCGGCCCCCGCGCTCAGTACTGGGGACAGCACTGCCCGAGGGGCAGCCGCGCACAGCCCCCGGCCCCGTATCCTTCACCCGCAGCGCCCCGGTGCAGCTTTAGGGCCTCTTCCCCTCCGGCGCCCCCCGCCCCACCTCCTCCTGCGCCGACCCCGAAGCTGCATTTGGCTCCAAGTTCTGGGCAGGATCCTCCCGATCTGCCGGCACCGGGCTGGCCCCTCCCCCACCTGGCGCTGCTCCGGGGCAGGCCTGTCCGTCTCTGTGCCCTGGGCCTCCGACCACAGCACAGAGGCCCCAGGGCTCCGGCCTCTGACCTCCCTGTCAGCCCAGCCAGCTAGGAACTCCACTGAAGTGTTTCATCTGGTGGGCTCGGCTGTTCGAGAGAGACCTTCTCAACATACCTACTCTACACCAAACCAAGCCCAAGCCTCCCACCAAAATGAAACCAGAATCCACACGCGCTTCTCATGGGTCAAAATTTAATTTTCACTCTGGGGCATGAGTCGGTCACCTGTAGCCACGTTCACACTGCACTGGGAGGATGGACATCAGTGGTTTAAAGGGGGAAACAAGGGCCCTCTTATCACAAAGGCGTGGCCACATCCAAAAATGGCGGCAACCCACCAAACAGAAGCTCCCCTCCGCACATGGGCTCTGGGAGGAGTGCCTGCCCAGGCCACTTGGCGCAGAGGTGCACTTGGAGAACCTTCTGTGGTGCTTATGAGCAGCACCCACTCCACTGGCGGACACCAGCATGGCGCCCGCCACACAGTTCCTGCCCTGACATGCGCCCTGAGGCCACGCGGAAGACGACTCCCAAGAGCTGCCGGCCCCTCGCCACACCCTGGCTGCAATGCCTCGGTGCCAGGCCCGCCCTGGAGCAGACTGAGCGGCGGGATGGCAGGGGAGGGCCCACAGGCGCCAATCCTCATTCCTTCCCTGGCTGACGGGCAAAGAGCCTCCAGACAGACATGGTCTGACGGAACCCGTCTGGGCCTCGTGGAAGACGGGGTTCGACTCAGCAGAGGCAGGCGCAGGGCTTGCTCCGGCCGCCCGGCAGCCCAGAGCCACTGGGGAGGCCGGGGCCTCCGGGAAGCATGGCGGGCGGGAGTGGCCTGGCGCCGTAACACACCTGTCTCGCCCACAGCCCAGGAGCCCCGCGCTCGTGCTCAGAGGCCTCCCGAGGTGGCGTGCCTTTCGCGGGCCGCCTGCAGGTGTGCGGGGGGACAGAGGCGCTCCGCGGGAGCTCGGGGACCGCTGGGCTACTTGGGGGCTGTGGGCCACCAGTCCGGCACAGAGGCAGTCACGGCCACCCGGCCACTCCCTGCGGTTCTGATGTGGAGAGGGCCCTTGACTCTGTCCGAGTGCAGCAGGGCGAGCCCTACCTCCCCCTGGCCTGCCCTGTACTTGCCGGCGGCCTGTCCCGACTCGGTGAGCACCGCGGTGCCGGGGGCAATGCCGCCCGCAGGGAGAGGGCCCGAGAGCTGCACCGGGAAGAGGCGCTTGCGGAGAACGCCCGTGTGGTGGGTGCGGGCTGTCAGCTCCTGGCCCACATAGCAGCCTTTGGTGAAGCTGACGCCATTCATGAAGGCCAGGTTGGACTCCAAGGGCAGGGCTACTCCTGGGGGCAGGTCATGGACCCCCTCAGGAACGCCTGTGGGGGCGGAAAGGGAGACGCTCGATAAGGGCTCAGGTGTTATCGGGAGCTGGCGCTCAGCCAAGGGAGGCCAGGCAGGGCCCCCTCCCCTTTCCAGTACATCGCCCTCTGCCTGCCACCCTCGTCCCTGTCCCCCACGAGAGGCTGCCTGGCCCTCACTCCTAGTCCACAGAGGACAGGACCCCTTGACTGACCCCAGCCACTCTCCACTGGCTCCTCCCATCTGCCACTCCAACCCTGCACCCCCCAGCTGGTCCCCTCTGAGACCCCCCAATACCTTGCTGATACCGGTGCCGGTGATAATCCCAGACATCCCCAAGCCGGCCCCTGGGCACCAAGGCAGGGCCCTCGTCCTGGGCTAGGAGCCGCCAGCCCATGCGGGGAGTGCGGGGGTCACGGGTGAGGATGGCGGCGCCCTGGGGCTCGGGCAGTGGCAAGGCCCCACGGGCCTCCTCCTCGGGGATGCAGGGCAGCACGGCCCAAACGTGCCACTCGGGATGCGGTTCCACCACGACCTTCCGCCGAATCTTGTGCAGCACCAGGTGCTCCTGCAGTGCGCCCAGCACCGAACTGTCACACTCCAGGAGGAAGGTAGGCGCTTGGTCAGCCTGCTCCCGGAGCCTGCAGGAAGGGACAGCGGCATGTGGTGGGGTGGGGGTCCACCGGGCGTCACAACGCGGGCCGAGCAGGCAGAGCCGGGCCACGGCCTCCCCAGGCCTCCCGTCCCACTGCGCAGGGCAGGGCACACCGGGGTCCCCACAGCCTCCTCAGGACGCACGCTTCCCACCCGGGCCACAGGCCCAGAGACCCCGGTGGTGTCCAGCGCTCAAGGTAAGGCGGGAAGGTGTCGAAGCCCACTTGAGGACAGGAGTTGCCTCCTCCAGCCCCAGAAGGCGTGAGAAGCCAGGGTCCTAAAGCTGGGATCACATGCAGGTTTCTGGAGGGGAGGGGCGCTCTGGAGTGGTGAGGCCACACCCCCCAGCTGCCCTCGGCCAGCCCGACAACCGCCCCAACGCCCCTCCGGGCAGAACACGTGCACGCCAACGGCGCAGGGATTCCAGTGTGCGGACCAGGTGCAGGGCAGGCTCCTTCACAGGCGCAAGCACAGCGGAGAGGGCAGTGCAGCGTTACACCCCGGCGGGGGCGGGGGGTTGGGGGGGGTGCGCGGTTTACACAGAGATGACCAGGCACAGCTGGGGGCTGGGTTGCATATGTGAACTGAACTAGGTCCCACAGCGGAGGCAGCTGACATAGGGAAGTAAGACCTACCGGGAGCAAGGACAAGAAAGAAAGGCCATCGGACAGTGCCCTCCCGCGGAGCTCATCACCTGCTGTGCCAGGTCTCAGTGGGCGCGCTCCAAGCACCGCGCCCTGTTGGGTCCACACCCTCGCCTCCCATAACCAGGGGCCATGGGTCCATTAAAGACTGAGTGATGTGTGGGGAGGGTGGGGAAGGTCAGCTGCCACAGCAACTCAGACTGGCCCATCGCCTTCTAACTGTCCTCACAGAATGTCAAAAACAAGAGCAGCCAGAACAGAAGAGTTCAGAGGAGCTGACAGAAGCACAGGAAAAGAACCTCCGCACCATTCCTCATGACGCAGACAAACCAAAACCAACAGGGACACCACTAGAAGGTTAACAGACTGTGACTCATCCCCTTGATGGAATACTACTGAGCAAGGAAAAGGGAAAGGCCACTGATACCAGCTGGATGGAGCTGAAGGGCACTATGGGCAAGGACCACTTGCATGACCTTCCTGAAACGCAGCAATCAGAGATGGAGGAAGAGCAGACAAGGGGCTGCGGGGACAGGAGGGAGCCAGAGCTGCCACTGGAGCGCTGTCCTGAGGTCGCGTGGTACACATCTGTGGTCAAATCGCAGAGACCTGCACTCGCACACGCTCTTGCACGTGGAGCCCGAGGAAGCTGCTCTCTCTGTGGATGGCCCGCGTCCATCCCCTGGACACAGCAGGCAAGACGCTGCTTTTGGGGAACTACAATCAGGGCATGGGACCTCCCTGCACATTTTTTATTTTTTTTTTTGCATCTTCTGTGAATCTATAATTATGTCAAAATAAATTTTTTTTAAAAGGAGCTGCCTCTGGAGAGGGTAGATCCATGTGGGTGAGAAGGGAGACAGTAGACAGTCATTTTCCGTGATAAGCCTTTTAACAAGCCTTTTTTTAACTGTTTGCAGGCATATTTTTATTTTTTAAATCTTGGACAGCAGTAGAGACAGCATGACGGGAAACAAGGGAACAGAGGACCATCGGAACCCCCACAGCAGCCCAGGCAAAGCAGCGCCCAGAGACTCCCAGGCAGACAGGAGGGCGCCCCGCCACAGCCAGCACAAGAAGGAGGCCTGCACCAGGACGGCCAGGCCAAGAAAAGACAAGGACCTTCAAACACTGCAGTCTTGTCCCCAGAGAGGAGACAGGCCACGGACAGGCAGGAAAGATTTAAGAAGTCTCCTCTGACGAAGGATCGTCACCCAAAACACACAAGGGCCAGTTAAAACCCAACAAGAGGGGAACAAACAATCTGCCCTGACTGGTGTGGCTCAGTGGGTTGGATGTCATCCCACAAACATGAAGGTCACCAGTTCAGTTCCCGGTCAGGGCACGCGCCTGGGTTGCAGGCCAGGTCCCCAGATTTGGGGGGGGGGGGGGGGTGGTGAACAGCAACCAATCAAGGTTTCTCTCAAACATCAGTATTTCTCTTCCCTTTCTTCCTCCTTTCACTCTTCTCTAAAAATAAATAAATAAAACTTTCTTTTGAAAAAAAACCAAACAACCTGATTAAAAAATGGACAAAGCTGGCTGGTATGGCTCAGCGGACTGAGTCCCAGTTCTCTCTCCCTTCCTCTCTCTCTAAAAATAAATAAAGTACTTAAATAAAAAACAGGCCAAAGGCCTTAGCAGACACCTCAGCAAACAAGATGTACACAGAAGGCAAATGAGCCATGAAGAGATGCTCCACATCACATTTCCTCGGGGAAATGCAAATCAAAGTAACGAGCTACCACTACACACCTGCGAGAATGGCCAACACCAGGATCACAAACAGGGGTGAGGATGGGGTGGCAACAGGAGCTGGTGGGAATGCAAAACGGTGCAGCCACTCTGGAAGACAGTTCGGCAGTTTCTCACAAAACTGCAAGCAATTGTGCTCCTTGGTATTAACCCAAAGGAACTGCATGTTTACTGCAGCTTTATTCATAATTGCCCCAACTTCAGTAGGTGGAGGGATAAACCAACTGTGCTACAACCCTATGATGGCGTATTATTCAGCACTAAGAAGAGGCCAGCTATCAAGCCATGAAAAGACACGGAGGTCCTGGCTGCTGTGGCTCAGTGGATTGAGTGCTGGCCGGTGAAGCAAGGGGTTACCAGTTCGATTCCCAGTCAATGTACATGCCTAGGTTGAGAGCCAGGTCCCCAATGGGCAGCACGCAAGAAGCAGCCACACAGTGATGTTCCTCTCCCTCCCTTCCCCTCTAAAAATAAATAAAATAAAGTCTTAAAAAAAAAAAAAAAGAGGACACGGAGGAACTGAAGTGTGCTGTGTATTACTAAGGGAAAGGAACCGACAGGAGGTGGCCACCTACTGTACAATCCAGTCATCTGACAGTCTGGAAATTAGAGGCACTAAAAAGATCAGTGGTTGCCAGGGGTTGCGGGGAGGGGAGGGAGGAACGGGCGGAGCAGACGACTTTCAGGGTGGTGAAGCTACTCTGCAGGACACTGCGATGGTGGATGTGTGTCATTATCCATTTGTCCAAACCCACGGACTGCACAATACCAGGAGTGAACCCAGTGTAAACTATGGACTCTGGATGATGTGTCCATGCAGGTTCATCGGCTGTAACTAACGCACCACTTTGGAAGGGGATTTTGTTAGTGGGGAAGGCCCTGGATGTGTATGGGACATCTCCGTACCTTCCCCCGAATTTTGCTAAAACTGCTCTAAAGTGAAAGTGAATAGAGAAAAGCCTCGCTAAAATCAGGCTGGGAAGCCCTGAAGGTGGAGTTCTCACACACTCTGCTCACTGCCCTTTGCAGACTCTTGCAGGAAGAAGCTAACTTTCAAGAGGGAGGTTTTCTCTTTGCCCAGCAACAACCCAGCCAATGGGAAGCTACCTACCACCACCCTGAACTCTCAAATCTCCTCCAGTGAACCCCTCTTCAAAACAACACCTCCTGCCCTGGCTTGGGTGGCTCAGTGAATGGAGTGCCAGCCTGTGAACCAAAAGGTCACAGGTTCAATCCCTGGTCAGGGCACGCACCTGGGTTGTGAGCCGAGTCCCCAGTTTGGCACATGGAGAGAGCAACTGATTGATGTTTCTCTCTCTCTCTTCCTCCCTCTACCTTTCTCTAAAAAATAAAATCTTTAATGTCCACAGTTGCAATTTCTCTGACATTCCCAAATAAACTCATTTGCTGGTGAAATAACTAGCTATTTTATTTGTAAGGCTGATTTAAGTCTACTTTACAAAGAAAAAGCTACCCCTAAGAGAAGGTGCTACATCCAGGACACAAGAACAGGGTGCTCTGAGAAATGACTCAAGGACGGGAAATCAGAAGCATGAGAGTTGAAATGAAAAATGAGAGAGAGAGACAGAGAGAGACAGAGAGACAGAGAGAGAGAGAGGATGCCGAGAACATGGCAGGCAGGAGCTAACAGAGCAAGCAGGAAGGCACACTGGCCTACAGGGGACAATCAGACCCAGCGCTGCCCGCTCCCCAGAGAGATCAGACAGAGGTAAGCAGCAGAGAGCAACGAGGTGGGGAAGAAGCGCAAGAATTAACCCCATGAACTCACCAGAAGGGTCAGGATAGAAAAGAAGTGTCAGGCAGGTCAGAAGGAGAGTGGACTCTGCCCCGTGCCTTACACCACAGAAGAGAACTGGGAGATGAAGATGAACACAGCCCCCAGGCCTGGGAGCAGCCATCCAAGGGGAGCGGGCGTGTTGTGTCCTCACCCCCTCCCTCTCCTCACTGCTGAGAAGGCCACTACCTCTGCACTGTCTCTGATGGAATAAAGGGCCATCCTACTCCTCCCTGCACAGAGCTGTGTTGGAATCTCAGCAGGGAAACTAGTTAGTAGGCGTCACCACAGTGGCCCCCATTTTCCTCAGCACGCTGAACAGTGAGTGGCACAATACCCCTTTCTCAGGAATTAGATGAGAGAGAAAAATCAATTGTTTTCCAGGTCAAACCAGGGCACAAGCAATGTCCGGAAAGAGATGCCAAGTGTGTGCGCTGGCACAGGACCTGCTGGCGCAGCAGCTGGGCACCGACGTTCCGGACCAGAAGGAAAGCACAGAGAAAAAGCAACCAACTACCTTACACTGTAGAGCGACTTACAATATAAACCCATAACAAGAACACAAAGGCTAAAAGATGTAAAGGCAGACTGCAGACACAGCAATGAAATTTGGGTATCAAAACACCACTATTACAACGCAGTAACGACCAAAATAGATGCTACTGAAAATTACTGACAGAGGGCTCAAGATAATCAAAGAATGCAGGCTCTAAAATAAAGAAATTAAAGCAAGTACAGGAATGTAGTAAGGTATGTGCGACAAACAAAGACCATGGCATTTTTTTTATGTAGTCTTTATTGTTATTTTTTTTCCATTACTATTTAGTCCCCTTAATACCCACCTCCCCCCCGACCTTGGCATCTCTGAAACATAGCAGGTGCAAATGCTTTTGCAGACGGCCAGATGGTAGACAATTTGGGCTTGGGCCACAGGGTGTCTAATCACAGATTTGCTGTTGGATCAGAAGACACAGTAGCCCCAGGCAGTAGGCAAACAAGGGGGCATGGCAGGTGGCGAATGCTTGAAGGCCATACCTTACCGAGGCTGCCACAGCACCCACCAAGCTTCCGGCAACACGACAGGAAAGATGACGCAAAATATCATCAGATAAAGCGCCCCTCCGAGCTTTCAGCGCCCCAAAAACAAAAAGGCAAGAAGCTTCTCAATAGAAATACCCGCAAAGGCATGCCATGGCTTCACAATTCTCAGTGACAACTTTCCACCTGAAATTTTATTCCCACCAAGCTATCAGATAATACCACGTGCAGACCTATTATGAGTCCAAGTCCACCTAAAGCATCCCACCTCTCAACAAGCCACTAAAGAGCTGGCTCCTCTTCCTCTGCAAGAGTCCAAAGAGAAAGATGCGGACGCCTCCACACGGGAGGGGGGCGTGGGAGTTCCCGGGGCGTGGCGCAGGACATCCGCCGGGTGACTCCCGACCCACGGCCCGGAATCGCACTAGAGGCGGGCGCCGTGACCATCACGTGGGTCATGATAATGTCAACACAGGCTGATACACAACGCCAACCATGGATACCACTGGATAGAGGGAGACTTGGGAGGGAAATGCGGGGGAAACCGCAGAACTCGGGAAGTCGTGGCCCAAGCTGGTCACGCAGAAGCTGCTCCCTGCAGTCCTAGCCCCCTTTTTCGTGCAGTGAAGACAGGGCGACCAGGGCAAGACTGAACGACAGCGAAAGCCAGGTGCAGCAGCGCCCAGCACCTGTCCCCGCCGCCACCACAGAAGCGCTCCGCTGGCCCGTACCCGAGCGCCCCTCCCGCTCACCTATGGAAGCCTCGCCCAAGTGCTCCAGGGCACCTCCATCCTCGGGGGCCCACCCCTAGAAGGCCCTTTCTCTGGGTACCTCCTCTCCCCAGGCCCCCACCCCTCCCTTGGTGTCTCGCTCCCGTTGACTCCCCACCTTCCTCCTAGGTGCCCCCTCCCCTGACTCCGTCTCTCAGTCTCCGAGTCTGCGCTCACCCATAGAGAATGACGTCATACAGTGTGCGTCCCTGGACATTGAGGAAGTGAGCGTAGCCCGCACGCGCCCGGGGCACGACCTCAGCGTCCGCAGGACCCGGAAGCGGAAGGTCATTGGTCAGCAGCCCGAGGAGAAAGGGAGCCGAGTCCGGCCCGCGCACGCGCACCAGGGCGCGCTCGCCCAACGGGAAGCAGGCCCAGGCCGCGCCGCTAGTGGGGTCGCTTCCGTGACCGCCCGAGCCGCGGGCCAGGCGGTGCCTTGAGACCGCGCGCAGCCGCCAACGCCAGGCAGGGCTGCTACACCCTAGAGCCGCGCCCCGGAATAGCGACGCGGCCGCCATCTTGGGCATAAGTGAGGCGAGAGGAAAGCGCGGCCCGGCGCGGGGAGCTGGGGGGGAGGGCGCGGGCGCACGCCATAGCGGCCCCTGGCGGCGGGAGGAACATGCGCGAGGGCGTGGGAGGGGCGGAGCCTCTGGAGCGCCCCGCCCCGCCCGCCCGTTCCCTGGACTGGTTCCTCTTCCAGGTTCTGGGTTCACCTGCCCTGGCCTGCCGGTGGATTTTCAGAGCAGAGTTTCTGCTTGCTTACAGCAGCCTCAGTGCTTTTCAGGTGCACAGTTCAGAGTCATTACGCGTACCGTACGGTCGTGCAGGCATCCCCACCGTCCAGCACTTTATCATCTTCCCAAACCATACCCATCAACCTGGAACCCCATCCTCTCCTCGGCCCCTAGCGCACACATTCCCACACAACTCTGTCTGTGAACCTGACTCCTCTGGGGACTCATGTGAGAGGAATAACGCGGTGTTATCCTTTTCTGATTGCTGATCCCCTGCCAACGATGCCCTCCAGGCTGATCTACAGTGTGTCAGTATTTCCTTCCTTTTTTAGGCTGAATAACATCCCCTTACATTTTGTTTATCTGCTCACGTGTTGATGGACACTTGGGTTGCTTCCACGCCTCAGCTTTTGTGATTGTGCTGCTATGTGGGCGGATATCTCTTCAAGACCCTGCTTTTGGCACTGTGCAAGGAAACCCACTCCTGTGTGTAGCTCTCTCATACTCCTTTCACTTATTACACTTCTGATCACCCAGTGTGTGTGCGAGGGCGGGGGGGGGGGTGGCGGTGCACACCTGAAGCAATTCTGTGACACAGGCTGGATAACCCACAATTTAATTCAATTGTGACACTATCTAGCCAGAGATAACGTAGATCCCACAGGCCTGTGTTTCTAACTGGAGGTTCCCACAACCCTGTCCTGGGTGTGCCACTAATTTGCTAGAGCAGCTCACAGAATTCAGAGAAGCAGTTACTCACTAAGTTGACGACTTACAGAGAATATAACTCAGGAAGAGCCAGACGGAAAAGGTGCGCAGGGCCAGGTGCAGGAAAAGGACAAGGAGCTTCCCTGCTCTCTGAGCCCAGCACCATCCCTGCACCTCCAGGTATCCACCTGCAGAGAAGCTCTCCAAACCCCACCCTTGTCGTAGTGAGAGGTGGCTTCATTGCACAGGCACAATTGATTAAGTCACTGGCCATCAGTGAGATTCAACCTCCAGCCCTTCTCCCCTCCCCTGAGGCGGAGAGGTGGGGCTGAACGTTCCAACCCTCTTATCACTCGTTGATTTCCTGGGCAACCAGCCCCAAAAGTCACTCCAGTAATATAACAAAAGACACCTCTCTGGTTCTCATCACAGGATATTTCAAGGGTTTCAAGAGCACTGTACCAGGAACAGTACAAAACCAAATATATATTTATTATAAATCACAGTATTACAAGTACACACCCGAAGTGGAAATGCTAGGTCCTATGGTATTCTATGCTCAGTTTTCCCAGAAGTCTCCATACTATTTTCCTGAGCGTCTCAGTCGGGTCAGGCTGCATAACCACCACCGCGGGCTGGGGACCTCAAACAGCAGATACCCGGCCTCCCGCAGCCCTGGAGGGAAGCTGGACACCCCAGACCAGGGTGCCGTCTGGGCAGGCTGCAGACAGCCCGCGCACTCCTGGTGGCACTTTTTCCCTGAGCGCACCAGTCCTGTGGGACCAGGGCGCCACCCATGCCACCTCATTGAACCTTAATCCCTTCCTAAAAGCCCAGTTCCAAATACAGTCACGCTGGGGCTCAGGGGTTCCACAGGTGGATACTGGGGAACACAATTAAGCCCTGAACACCAGTGTCTGAACCCCTCTTCCCCCATTAGCTCTCATCCCCAGTTGCTTGCTCCCCTTTCAGGGAAACTCAGAGCCTGTGTGTTGTCCCTTAACCCACTGTCTCCCCAGGAAACTGCAACACAGCAAATGGAAACCAGCAGCAAATGCCTGCAACCCGTCCTGTGCTGTATCCATCTGCGCGCCGCCCCCCCAGCCGCTTGCCTGGGCTCTGTCACTCGCCATCACTTCCAGCCCAGTCCGCTGGGCAGAGCCCTTCAGAGCGGGCCTGTGCTAGTCTGTAGTGTGAGGTGCGAGGTGGCCTTGGGGGCCCCTCCACCTCACTTCAGCCTCACCACCTCATCCCGCTACATGATTTTATCGTGTCCACAAGCCAGGGGCTCTAAGGGATGCCGGCGGTCCAGGCGCGTCCCCCCAAACTCCCCTGGCACCTTTGATATTCAAACTGCGTGTGTACAAGCCTGACCTCCACATCCCCCTGTACCCCCACCACTCCAGCGCTCAGCTGCGCGCCCTTGCACCCATGAGGTCCCCACGTGTCACCCAGCCTCTCCTCTCCAGAGCTCACTCTCCTCCAGGCTCATCAGTCTGCTCTGTGCCTTCTCTGGCCTCCCACCCCTGTCCCCCCGCCCCCAGCAGACCCCCCCCAAGAGCACACAACTTGCCCCCATCTCAAAACTGGGCCCAGATGCCACCTCCCACCAAAGCTGCTCTAACCATCTGTGGATGCATTTCTCTAACTTTCTATTTGGAGTATTTAACCAGAAGGAATTGTGAAAGAGTAACAATAAACTGTACCACCCTTCACCCAGTTTGTTGGCATTGGCAGCTAAATATTAAGGAATCAGACGTTTTTAAGCATAATCAACTAGGGAGCTGAATGGGACAATAAGCCTGCTTCATTAGGAATCTGCAGACCCAAGCATTCCGCAGGGGACCCCTGCATCCTCTGCCCTCAGGACCTGATCCCCAGGGGAAAGATAAAGCAGCAGCAGAAGCTCCTGCGCTGGGCGCATGTCCAGGAAAAGTAAGATGGCGCAGGGGGAGGTCTCTCCAGTTTGAGGCACGCACAGTAGGAACTACGATGAAGACCGCAGGAAGCAGAGCCTAGCCTGGAAAAAGAATCTAATTGGGCAATTGACACAGAACCCCGAAAGATCCAGGAAATGAATTGGTTAGGGAAAGGACATATCAGAAGCCCATGAATGACTAGGAAGTTGATTGGTCGTTTTGAAAGGCGCCTGGTCCTTCCCAAGCCCGAGATAACACAGTCCAAGCTTAACAAAGCGCTGGCTCGCGCGCTCTCGCGCGCTCGCTCTCTCTCTCTCTCTCTCTCTCTCTCTCTCTCTCTCTCTCTCTCTCCCCCCTCCCCCTTCTCTCCCCCCTTTCCCTCTCTCTCGTTTGGTAACAGGCGCTGGCCCTATTCATTGTTTCACTCTCTCTCTGCAGCAGCCACACGGTCTAGCAGCCACACTGACTCCAAGTGCAGGCTGCAAGCGTGAGCCTGGGTATGGCAGGGCAGGGCAGGGCAGGGCAGGGCAGGGCAGCGCCAGCCGGAGTGCAGCCGGGAACACACACTGCGCGTGCCGGACCAGGCTTCGCAGGGCACAGAACTTTGGGACACTGGCCTTGGTTCTGGGCTTGATGAAGACAAGGCTGGACTTTTTCCACAGCGGGATGGAGCTGAACCCAGGACAGTCTTTTGTGTTTATTTTGACCCCAGTAAATCTTACCACCATACCTCAACCTCCCATGCGCAGGTCCCCAGAAATGCTTTTTCCTGTGACTCCATGAAAGGACCCTATTTCCACTGGCAACAGACTCATCAACTGTCAACATTTGGCCCTGTCTGCCTGTCAGTCTCCTTGCTGTTCCTCTGTTCATGCAGCTCCCCCAAACCCTGCAAGTCCTGATTGCCCAACCAGGCCAGCTGCATGGTGCGGGGCATGAGCAGCCTGTGCGAAGTCCCTAGGCCGCGCAGGCCCGCGGTCCCCCGCCCAGCTGGCTTCCTGGCTGTGAGCAGCCAGGCCTGGTATGTGACTCCCCTGCGTGGAGGAGGGCTTCCTCTGCCAGCCGGGCATTCCAAAGGTGACCCAGCACCTCCCTGCCAGGCCCTGAGGACAACACGGTGGGGGGCACGTTCCTTCAGCCTCACGTCAGCCTGTATCCCTGCCAGTAGACAAACCAGCTCCCCACTGGCCCTGCCACAGGAAGGGACGGCAAGCAACCTGGGGCCACCTGGAACCTTCCTGACCTCCCAGTGGAGCCAAGCCCAGCCTGCCTCACCACCCAAGCTGTTTAAATGCAAACCACCTCAGGTGGTATCACAGGAGCCTTCCAGCTCCTCCCACATAACAATGCTGATGTGCCCAGAGACATGTGTGGCTAGTGCTTACCGCAGTGGATGGAACAGACAGCACCTCCCACCATCCAGGAATCTGCCAGCCAGCACTGCTCTAGGGCCCCTCCTCCAGGAAGCCTTCCTAGGTGTCTGCAACAGCCTGGCCAGCCTGACAGTAAGGACCCTGGCATGTAAGCACCACGCTACTGCTGCCCTTTCTCAGCCCCCGCTGCTGCTTCCCCTGCCGTGGCTCTGGGGAAAGCTGGCGCCTGGCCTCGGGACGTTCCCTGGGGACGGCTGGGTACACGTGTGCACTCTCCTCCCTCTGAGGGCACAGGACTGGAGTTGTCGGGGCGGTGCGGGGGGGGGGGGGGGAGCTGAGAACTGGAACATGGCGGGCGTGGGGGTCAGACCCCGCTTCCCAGATGCTGCTGAGCCAGGGGCGGTTTCCTGTTATTCTCTCCTCGTGGCCTCCTCCCTTCCCAAAGGCAGGATAAGGAAGCTGTCCTGTTCTGGGGGTGTCGCAGCACCCCCTCCCTGCAGCCCTCTGCGGTCTCCCTGAGCAGCCAGGGAGCTGGCTCTGGCCATGGAAACGGATGAGAATGAGACAAGAAGGCCATTACATGTGGTCCTGCCCCAGCCAGATGCTCCCCGGGCTGGCCCTGGCCCAGCTTGGATGTGGGCGGGCCCCACGCAGCCCAGGGACCCCACCAGGCACCGAGGCTCATCCCGCTGGCCTGCTCCTGAGCCAGGCTGGAGGACGGGGATGGGCAGGGAGGGAAGTTCTGTGCTTCGCCCTTCATGTTCAGCCCTTCGCCCTCATGGCCATACCAGGTTGGCAGGGAAAATGAAAAGGTTTTTTTCCAAGTAGCCACGAGCACAAAGCACCAGGCTGAATGGCTGGCTGGGCTCCACCTCTCGGAGTTAACAAACTTGTGCCTCTTGGATGCCACGTCCGAGTGGGAGATAGTCACCCATGTCAGGATCGGCTCAGGCGCAAGATGGTTGTGTCACAGCACCAAGGAACTGGTCTTAGAGATGAGACCATGGATGACACAGAGGTTGGCTTCCCAGGCCTGGGGCAGCCAGGGACCACAGAACCTAGGACACCACCATCCAAAGCTCACAGGTCCGACAGGCCCCAGGTGGTACACACAGGCCCGCGAGCTCCCGAGACAGGAGGCCTCTTCCTTCCCCCATGCTGACTGCAGGTTCAGTTGGGCGCACACCTCAGGGCAGAGCCCTAATGCCCAGGACTCAGATAGGGCCACATTTGGAGATGGAGCCTTTAAAGAGGTAACTAAAGTGAAATGAGGCCACAGGCTGGGACCTCATCGTACATGACTAGTGTCCTTATAAAAGGAGGACATCAGGATATGGATGCGCGCAGAGAGACAACCACGTGAGGACACAGGGAGGAGGCGGGCGTCCACACGCTGAGGAGCGAGGCCGCAGGGGAGCCAGCCCTGCCCCGAGGTGGATCCCAGGCTCCCAGGCTCCAGGACGGAGAAAAATAAATGTCTGGCATTTAATCCCCAGCCTGTGGTATTTGTTACGTAGCCTGAGCTGACAGAGGCACCTTCCAGAACAGAGCCTCCATTTGCAGCTTCCCTCTCAGCTGGGATGCCCTTTAACCAACTCTGGCTGATAGAAGGGGTATGTTCGTCGGGGCTCTCCAGGGAAACAGAACCAATTTGTCATCTATAGAGAAAGGTTTATTACAGGGGATTGGTTCATGCAGTGGTGAGAAGACCAATGTCTATTTGAGTATTTGACTCCAGAATGTTCTTCCAAAAGCACAAATCCGCTGGGCTTCGTGGCTCGTTTTCAGATGCATGCTGGGCCCATGCCCCACCTTCCACCCTTCCCACCCCTCGTGGACCCTTTCACCATCAGCTGTGGGAAACCGACCTTCAGGACACAGACCAGCCTCTCAGCCCTTCTGGGAGTGGACACCTGCCTGTCTTTCTCGTTGGCCCTCTCCAGCCACTATGGCTGTTATGTCTCCCAAGTCCCACTGTTCCCCACCTTGATGCCCACCCTTCTCCCTGAGGTCCTGAGGTTTTCCAGGGCCTCTACTGAGGAAAGAGCCGGCTGCAAGAGGCCGATCTTGGGGCATGGAGGAGCCGTAGACGAAGTGCTGGCACCCAGGCGTTCTTTGCAGATGTCCCTCACTGCCCGCCCCGCCACTTGCTGTGCCCATTTGCCCCCGTGGGGGCCAGCCCACACCCCCGGGGGACTGCCCCCGCCCCCGGCGATGACACAGCCAGCAGCACAGCCCCACGTCCAGGACTGCTGGTTTCGTGGACCTTCCTCTTCTGGAAAGGCGAGCTGCATGCCCCTGCTCTGGATCCAAGTCGGCGTCGCCATCCAGGACCTCCTGAGGCGTGGGTACCCTGGGAGTGGGGCTCCTGCAGGGCAGGCCCTCCTGGGAGCAGGTCTCCCTGGAAGTGCAGCTCACCCAGGGGCGGGGCGCCCCCGGGTGCGGGGCTTGCTGAGGGAGAGGCTCCCCTAGGGGCCCAGCTGGTCTGATCCCAGACAGAAGAGGAACTCAGCTCACAGCTGGTGTCTGACAAGAGGTGGCTGAGGTTGGGGTCGGGGTTCGGCCCTGACTTGGGGCTTGGCCCTGAGGCAGCAAAGGGAGGGTCTGCAGCCAGGGGAGGCTGTCATGACATGCCCTGGGCCTGAGGGAGGCGGGGAGGCAGCTGGGTCACCAAGCCTAACCCCTCTCTCTCCCATCCCCCGTCGCCTCCCCCCCGGCTCTCTTGCCCATCCCTGCCCCTCACCATAGCCACCACCGATGGCTCTGGCCACCATCCAGATCAGGCTGGGGCTGGGATGGCAGTGCCCCTCTGTCCCCTGAGCCACAGGCTGACTTTGGCTGTCAGTGTTAGGGCCTGGCCAGCTCTTTGTTTTTACCGTCTGCGAGCCCGGAGGTGCCCACCGAGCCTGCTGCCTGGCACTAAGCTGCACCCAAGCGTCTCTGAGGAGCTGCTTCCCAGGCTAGCCTGGAGCTTAGCTGTGTCCCTGGAGGCCAGCGATGCCACACCACACACACACATACATACATGTGCTTATACACACCACATGAGCACATCACACATGCATCTGTGTGCATACCTATGCATGACACACGCATGGTTGTAAACAAAAGTTAGTTTTTTATTTTACGCCCTTTGTTTCGGAGGCTGTGTCTGCATTAGGAGCCCCAGAGCCCCTCCCCCTAGCACCACCAAAGCTGCAACCCCTGGCCACCACCCTGTTGGGCCCAGCAGCAAGGCAGACTGACATCTTTGGGGAACTTCAGGTCTGTCCCAGAGGAAGGGCCCTTGCCAGGCAGCTGCAAAGTTCAAAGGGTGTGGCCACCTCCAGCCCCAGTCTTCCAGGGCCTCAGCCCAGATGGAGGCAGAGACAGAGAGAGAGAGAGAGCGAGAGAGAGAGAGAGAGAGAGAGAGAGAAAGAGAATGAGCAGCTCATTCGCTGGGGCACGGAGGACCCAGGCAGGAGGAGGCACAGCCCAGGGCTGCCTTGGTTTCCCCTATGTAGGAAGAGGACTCAGAATTGCTTCCGGCTCTGCAGGAAGCAGCACAGCACGTAGGCTGGGGGCCGGGGTGCTAGTAAAGCAGCCCCATCGGCTGCTGCAGGGAGTGGGAGCATCTGCACCCCCAATGCCAAGGCCAGGCACCCCTGGGCGTCACACCGGGGCTGCTGTAGGGGAGCAAAGACGAGGCCGGGCACTCTGCCCAGGGTCCTTGTCCTGAGGTGCTGGTCGGGTCCTAGGGAGACTCGGAGGGAAGGACAGGACACCCAGACCAGAGCAGCTCAAGGCGCCTCTGGATAGCCCTAGCCACACTCCAGCCCGCCGGTCGAGGGTTCAGGATCAGAGCTGGGGACACTTCGTGGTTGCCAGGCCTGTCCTCCTCTTATCTTGGACAGAGAGGGAACTTGGGTGGGATGGGGCAGTGAAACGGAGCAGATGATGCCTTTCCCCTTCCCGCCTCTCCCGAGGAGGAGAAAGAGAAAGGAGAGGAAAAGGAGGAAGAAGATGTGCTCTGCTTCCAGTGCGTCCAGTCCCCAGCCTTATCCCCGAGGCCCCACCGGTGCCCGGCGGGAGGGCGGACGGAGAGCATTGGGGGAGGGGCCTCAGATCCACACGGTGGTCTTTCCCTCCCTGCTGCTGGCACTGCCCTTCTCTGAGTCTGCCCTCGGTTTGGCCCCTGGCCGGCCCTGGCCCCCGCCCGTGCCCCCCGACGTAGCACTGCCTGACCCGGAAGCGGACGCGCTGGCCCTCGGGGGCCCCCGTGTGGGCGCGGGGAGGCCGGAGCAGGGTGGGCGGTCATGGTCCCCGAGCGCGTGCCGGTCCCGCAGGGCCCGCAGCGCCAGGCTGGCCAGATCGGGATCGCGGGCGCGCGCGCGCTCTGCCGCGCGCACCACGAGGCTGTAGTCTGGCGGGCAGGCCAGGCCGGCGGGCGCGGCGGGGAGTGGGCAGGGCGGCGGGCGCTGTGCCGGGCTGGGAGCGGCGGCCGGGGGGCGACGGGCTCGCACAGCATCCTGCGCGCTGCCCAGGCCCAGGTGCGCCATCTCGCAGAGGTTGAGCAGCAGGCAGAGGCAGCTGACCACGTACATGACCAGCAGGAAGACCGTCTTCTCGGTGGGCCGCGACACAAAGCAGTCGACCACGTGTGGGCAGGGCCGGCGGCTGCATGGGAAGAAGGGCGGCACCTCAAAGCCATACAGAAGGTACTGGCCCACCAGGAACGCCACCTCGAAGGCGGCCCGCGCCACCAGCTGGGCCACGTACACGCGCATCAGGCCCTCGCGTTGAATGCGCCGCCGCCCGTCGTGCGGCCCGTTGGGGCCCGGGGTCCCCGCCGCCTTGGCGTCCCCGCCGGCATCCTTGGCCGCGCTCTCATCCTCCGCCTCGTTCTCCTCGCCCAGGCCCTCTGCCGCCCCCGTCTCATCCTCCTCGCCCAGGCCCAGCATGGGTTCTTCCTCGCCCAGGTCGATGGCCTGGGGCCAGCTGTGGTGGGACGGCGGGGGCAGTGGCAGGGGCGCGGGGGGCGCGCGGGGCCCGGGGCTGCGGCGGGAAGCCCGGCGGCGCTCGTGCTGTGCGGCGCGGGCCAGGCGGTGCACGGCGTAGCCAAGGTACATGACGGAAGGCGTGGAGATGACCACAATCTGGAAGACCCAGAAACGCACGTGGGACAGGGGTGCGAAGGCGTCGTAGCAGACGTTGTCGCAGCCTGGCTGCCTGGTGTTACACGTGAACTTGGTCTGCTCGTCCGAGTAGATGGACTCGCCTCCTACAGCCGTGAGCACGATGCGGAAGACCACCAGCACCGTGAGCCACACCTTGCCCACGAACGTGGAGTGGTGGTGGATTTCCTCCAGCAACCGCGTCAGGAAGCTCCAGCTCATGTTGGTCATAGGGGCGGGGGGGCAGGAACCTGTGGGCCACAGCAGAGCTCAACCAGGGTGGGGAGGAGGGGGGTGGGAGTGGATGTCGGCGGGTCCTGAGGAAAAGAGCAAAGCTCAACCCTGGTGGGGGACGAGGAGGAGCAGGAGGGTGGGGAGGGGGGTGTGGGACCCTGCAGGAGCAGAGCTCCACCCAAGGCCAGGAGGAACACTGGGGCAGGGGCCCTGACCCTGCAGGGGGTTGCATTCGCGGAGGGTGGAAACAGCAGGCTGCCTGGCTCCAGCTGACCACTCCCCGCTGCAGCTCTCAGACCCGACTCCAGGTCCATGGGCCCTGGAGCGGAGCCAGCCCTTCCCTCCCCTAGCCCCCAAGGAAAGCCTGGCCCTGTGCAAGCATTGCCCATCCCCCACCTCTGGAGACCCCCACCCTGAGAGCCACAAGGAGTCAACTGGGTGGGCCAACTTCGTGGGGTCAACAGGAAATTAGAAGCCAGCCCCAATCAGGGTCAGGCTGCACAGCCTCAGCCCCACACCTCCTCAGCCCCCACCCCACCTGCATGGAGTCCTGTTTCCAGCATTTGTGGGGGGGGGGGGGCTTCAGCTTGCCCAGGCCCCCACTCCCCACACACTGTGCAGCCTCATGAGCCCTCAGGGCCCCTGGCAGTGTGCCCCTCCCCAGTCACACCCCGCACAAGGCCTCTGGTCCCTCTGCCTCTCCGCAAAGGACCCCCAGGCTCCTTCGTGCCCTCCCTCCCACCCAGCTGCCACCCAACTCTCTGGGCTGCTCCTCCCTCTCATGGGCTCCCTCCTGTCCTCTGCAGTCACAGCGAGGAAGTCCCAGCTGGGGGGAGGCTGAGGCCAGGCATCTGTCCAGGGTGGAACGATATCTAGCAAGGCACACAATGACCATAAGTCACCTGTGACACTCAGAGACAGCCATGGGCTACTCACCACATCCCAGACCAGCTGACCCCTGACTGCACCTGTGCCCAAGAGAAGGGACTCTTTGGGCAGAGCCAAACCACCCCAGCTCCGTTTTTTCCAGGGCTGCATCTCCCAACACCCACCTTCCCTTCTCCACAGCCAAGGCCAGTCCCTCCTCCTGGATAGTTTGGGAAAGGAGATCCCTGGGCACCTGAAGCTTCTGGCTCCCTCCCTCCTGGAACAGGCCTGGGAGGCAGTGTGGGCAGGTGTGGGATGGAGAAGCAGACACAGGCGGGGCTCCAGGCCCTTTTTATGCAGCTGGGCCTCTCCCCTGGGCGGTAGGAGGGGAGGAAGAGGGGGTATCCAGGGTTCCTGGGGAAATGACCCCACTTCCTCACATCTGTGTGCATGGCCCATCTCAGAGCCACGCATATGCAATGCAAACATGCACACTCACGTTCACTCACATACATGCTTACAAGTGTGCACTCACAGGCATACATGCACACTCACATGTGCACACATAAACATACTCCTGCAGTTACCTCACACACACACACACACACACGTGCATACAGGTGTACAGTGAACTCACATGCACACTCAAGTGTGCACATCTATAAACACGTGCACACAGATGTGTAGACATGCACACATGTGCACACTCAGGTACAGACCAGCTCAGGCCCGCCCTCCAGGGCCACCTTCTCCCCTGCTCAGCCTCAGGCAGGGGTTCCTCGAGGCTCCCTCGGGCCTGAGGCCCGCCGTTCTCCCTCGCTGCCGCCGACCTCTGCCTCTCCCGAGCCTGTCCCACCCCTGCCCTGCACAGCACAGGAGACTGAGGCCCACACTGCCCTCGCAGGGACCCAGGAAGGGTCTGGCAGAGCAGCCTCTGCTTCTTCCCTCTCCATGAGGGTTTCTCTCAGGGTGCAGGCAGCCCTGACTTGTGCTTTGGGGTCAGCGTTAACAGCTGGCTCTCTGGGAAAGCTTTCATGTCACGGTCAGCAGTTGCTGTGGTGGAAGTGCCTCCGAGCCCATGAGATGTGGCAGGCGCCCTTGAGAGCAGCACTAGCGTGGGCGTGGTCAGGCCCTGCCATGGGGGTGAGGGGTGGTGCTCTGCCTTGTGGGGCTCGTGCAGTGAAGTCAGGGCGGCGGAGAGCAGATGCGGCGAGGAGACGACGGCCGACAAGCGGGGTCGGCCAAGGAGCTGCCCTGGGCAGCGGCGGCGCCAGGGTGCACCTCCTGTCTCCGCTTCCCCGCCGCCACGAGGGAGCCCAGGCAGCCTTCGGGCCGGGGCCGAGGCTCAGGGTCTTGGGTCCAGGTGACATCCACGTGTGTGCAGGGCCCGTGCCGCGTGCGTGGCACTCATCAGGTAGTCAGGGGCTGGCACTGCTCCACTCTGGCCTGCGAGACTTCGGCCCTGGTCCCAGGGGTGTGCGCCGGGGGCCTCAAACCTACACTTTCAGCCGGTGCTGCCTCCTGACCTGGCACACAGATCCAGAGGACCAGTCCCAGCACCTCAGGGACTGTGCCACAAGCACCTGGTGGTGCCAGAGAAAGGAAGTGCTAGCCCGAGCCCCCCCCCACACACATGCTGCCAGGGCAGCACAAAGCACTGCATGAGCTCACGGAAGGAGCTCCCCACGTGTGTCCGAAGCTGGATCAGTTTGGGCAGTAGAGTGACTAGTGAAGAAGGTAGTGTATAGATTAGGTTGTAGATTATTACTACGGTATAGAATAAACGAGCCCCCACTGATACAAATGATTGACTAAATAACTAAATGAGGAGAAGGACATTCTAGTTTCTACAGCCACTGAGTGCTCCAAGAGCGCGGGCCAATCCCGGTCCCTCCTGGGTGGCCACTCAGCGCGCCCGGCAGGAGGGGAGAGTGGAACCCAAGCATGTCCCCTCAGGCGGGGCCAGGCCGAGGGCACGGGCTTGGCTATGAAGTGAGGAGAGGGGCCCTGCCCCTGCTGCCTCGCCCCCTAAACCTCAGTCCAGGTGAGTGGGAGACAAGTTCCAGGAGGGGCTCCTGCAACACACCCAACCACTGACACAGCCAAGGGCATCAGGCATGGGCGCCAAGAGCCCTGGGCAACCCAAGATAGGCATGCCACTTGGAGCTCCAGGGGAACCCTGGGAAAAGTGAGGACCACATGCCTTATGGGGGGAACCTGGGGCAGCAAAGGTCATGGGAAAAGCCAGGAATGTGTGGGAAGTGTGGGCTGTGGAGTTGGCAGCGTTGACTGTGACAAGCATGCCATGGGGAATGAGCAGGGCCAGGGGAGGGGGGTTACATAGGAACTCCTCCCAGTCTCCACAAGCTCTGTAAACTGCAGTGTCGGAAAGTAAAAACCTTAGTGGACACAGCTCCTGCCCGATCACTCTGAGCCCCTTCTCCCCATCTTTCCCCACCACCCGGCACGTGTCCGTCTGGAGGCGGCAAGGCAGGAGCACGGACTGGCTGGTGACCTGTCCTGAGCTGCAGGGCCCATCAGGCTGCTGGGTGGTGCAGCCATCGGGGGCTCCCCTGGCCCACAGGAGTGGGGTGTTGGCCTTTCAGGGATCCAGGCCCTGGGGGTTTGCAGGGAACTTCATTCCCACAGAACTCCACACACAGTGAAGTACCAGAGTAGGCAAAGGTAAGGACTGCTCAGGGGTCCTGGATGAGGTTTGGGGGGGGGACCTGGGTGCTCCCAGGGGTCACTGTCTGGGAGGGGGCAAGCCTTGGTGGCCAGCAAGGGTGTTGGGAGGTGTGGCTGTTGGGCCAGTGTGGGCACAAATGGACTCCCCGTGACAGCCAGTCACCCCCACAAGGAGTTTGGAGGAAGGTGCCCAGCGGTGGGCTTCAGTGGGCATCGGATGACCTGTCCTGGGGAGAGCTGGCCTGCTACCCCAGTCCAGACCCAGGGGAGCGGTCTCGGCAGGGGTTGCCCCCTGCATTCCCCTGCCTCAAGTGTCTCCACGCCCAGGTCTGAACAGAGGTCCCACAGGGCCAGCCAGGCTGAGCGCCAGGGACAGCCCAGCGCCATCTCGCAGTGCAGCAGGCCAGGGCCTGGCCAGCAGTTTCCTTCCCATCGCTGGTCAGACTTCCTCCCCACGCCCCCCGGCCGGGGCGGGTGGGACTTCCTCTGCGGAGGGGGACTGCAGGCAGGGCCGCAGTGCTCACTCGCCATACAGCGGGGGCCCTGCCCTGGGAGCCTCCGGGGCCTGGAGAGAGGGGTCTCAGGCAGCTTCTTCCCCTCCCCGAGGACACAGAGACCCTGCGTGCGCCTGGCACTGACAGCCCTCACCCACAGGTACCTCAAGGTCCCTCTGTCCCGCGAGGCTGAGGCCTTAGCCGGAGCCCAGAGCCTGCCCCCGCCCACGCGCCTGCTCACCTCCTGATCGGACCTCGGCACCCGTCCCAGGCCTCCCCTCAGCTCTGCAGTGATCCCATCGGACTCTGTCTTGCCAGGTCCCTTGCTGGGACACTATGCTCCCATCCTGGAGGTCCCAGTTGTATTTTGATTAGACTCTCTGGCCACCCAGAACCCAAACCCCAGGCCTGGGGACCCTCCACCACAACGGCACTGCGGTTCCCATGCACATGGCAGCTGCCGCTCCACCCCCGCCAAGGCAGCCCAAGGCGGGCTGTAGGCTCTCAGATTGGGCCCCAGGGAGCCTGGGCTCTTGGTCAAAGGCCTTGTCCCCCCAGGGCCCTCAGGGCTGGCTGGGCAGCGTCCGGACTCCCCCACGCATGCACTCACGCACACCCTCGCTCTGGGAAGCACCCAGTGTGCATGCAGTGAATGCAGGGGGGCGAAGAGACAGCTGAGCTGGAGGGAGGGTGGGTACACCTAAGGCGAGGCCCTGGTCCCTCCCAGGGCTGTGCGGTGACTGTAGCTGCACTACCAGGGACCCCAAAGGGGCAGAGAACCCACTGGGGACTCAGGGACCCCTCTTCACTGCAGCTGGGACTGGGAAGTGAGGGGAGTTCCTCCTGAGTGCGTGGGGGTGGGACGGGGGTGGCTGGGGGAGTCCTGGTGGCACAGCCAAGACAGCTCGGTGCCAGGCCCAGGGACCCCCCAGGCCCTGCTGGCCCAGAGCAGGCTGCAGGGCCCACCGCCCGGCCCGCAGGGCGCCTGTGCTCTCCAGTCCCCTCACCCGCTCCTCCCAGACAGCCCCGGAAAGCCGCCAGGGCCAGCACACTGCCACCTCTCAGCAGAACGGAGCACGGCTCGCTTTTTCTCTGCACCCCCCCCCCCCAGCCACGTCCGCCTGCTCACCACAGCCCAGCGCACCCCAGGCCCCCAGCAGGCGGGGCCCTCCCTGTGCAGCAGCCCTGACCACTCCCGGACCGGCCGCTGCCCCGTGCCAGACCCTCAGCCCGCTCCTGCGCACCATCCTCACCCGGGAAACCGTCTACTCAGACACGGGTCTGTGGCACACTGGGGGCTCCTCCTGGGTCTGTTCTGCTCCCTGCTGACCCGCGGGGCCCGGGCCCGAAGACCTGGGACCCATGAAGACTACAGGACGGCAGCCCAGGCTGTGTGCAGGCTGGCTGAAGGCAGGTCCGGGGCAGTGTGGAAGGCACAGAAGTGTGCCTACACCGGCTTGACTGCCCATGTATGCGGTGGGGCTCCCAGATGTCCCCCAGGCTCTGGGCACACAGCAGCTGCCTATCACAGGCCGGCCAGTCCCACACAGCACGGGGAGCCCCAGCTGCCGCGGATGTGCTGGGCACACACCCCTTCCCTTGCGCTCCCCCCCACCCTTGGGTCTTGTGATCCCAGAAGACCCCACTGGCCAGGACCTATACACAGGCAGTGGGCTCCAGACAGATCCCCAGAATGGGACACCTGGCCAGGCCAAGCACCTGTCATCTCCCAGGGACAGCCATCTCCGAAGCCAGACCAGGCCTGAGACCAAGCCCTGATGGGAGAGTGACATGGCTCAGCCCCACAGGGCACCCCACACCCAGTCCCCTTGACAGCACCCTACCTTTTTCAGGCCAGAAAATGTAAGTCCCTCAGCCCTTCCACCTGCTGGCTGGTCAGACACTGGCTTCCAAGGGTGTGCACCCGGCACTCCCGTGCCTGACCCAGGGCCACCTCTCACCACCAAGCACAATGCAGGGGGAGGGCCTTCAAGGGCCCCATTGTTCCCCTCAAGGCCCGGGGTCTGAATCCCCGATTGTCCCTGGAGCTGCACGGGGCCGAGAGACGGAAGAGGCCTCCACCAGGCTGCACAGTGGGCGGGGAGGCAGCCTGGCCTTGCCTCACCTGCCCGGGGCCTGCCCAGCGCCCCTTTGCCCGCTGACCTGCGTCCAAGCCTAACTTCTGCCCGGCCTCCTCTGTGCATCCGGGCGTATGGACGCCGCCACCTCCCCCACCATTCCTGCCTGGGCTCCTGCCCCCTCCAAGTCTGAGTCCGGCTGTCCTAGTCGCGCCGCACGAGCACGGCGTGAGCACGGCCCACCACACCCCAGGCCACCACAGCTGCTCGCCTGAGACAAGTGGCAAGAGAGGTGTCTTCTCAGACTCCAGGGAGCCTGGAACCCCAACAGGCCCTCAGGTCTCCCGAGCTGACCTCTCCCAGACCACCAAGCCAGCTGGGCGCAGCAGGCTGGGCCTGCAGCTGGGGGAAGTATATGGCACAGACAGGGCTCCAGGTCGCAGGGGTCCACCTCCTGCAGTCTTGGCCCCCCTTGCAAGTCAACAGCATCTGTCCCTCGCCACCCCTCACCTGGCTCGGGGACCAGGAGCGGCTGGGGCAGGACAAGCCCCCAAGGCCTTCTCCACCCAGCCTCAAGGTGTTTGAGGAGCGAGTGGGGGAGGTACATGCTCCCTGGCAGCCCTGCTCCCATCTGCGACTCAGGGCAGGAAGCAGTCCAGCCTCCGGGGACCCCCACTGAGGAGAGCTCCTGCCCGCCTCCTGGACACGAGGCTGGGAGGGCATCCCTGCTGGTCGCTGAGCTGCCAAGCCTGGGCAGGAGGGTGCTGCTGGGGAGCAGCCCACTGGCCAACAACCCAGAGCAGCAGACGTGGAGGGGAACCTGCTGCCCGCGGCCTTCCTGGGACTGGCGATTTGGCGGGGCTGCCAGGAGAGACAGCGCCACATGAAGAATGCAGCGCCAGGGCGGCAACCCACGGGCTCAAGGCCACTCTCACCAGCTGCTCTTTATTAGGACTCCAGCCCAGCTCCCACAGGAGAGGGGGACTGATGGGGGGCACCCAGAAATGTGCGAAGGTAGCAAGGAGAGAGCGGCAGAGCCATCTTGCCGGGGACACCCTGGCCACCAGGGTGGGTGCAGGGTCCTGTCCAGGGAGGACACAGCTGTTGGCATCCTCAGGAACAGCCAGTCCTTTGGGCTTTTTTGATTTCCTGCGGGAGAGAGGAGGAAGGATTGGCCCTGAACCCCAGGTCCCCTGTCCCATGCCCTTCCCTGTGCGGAGCCCACCTCCGAGAGTGCTTCCTTCAGGGCCCAGTAGGCCTTGTCCAGGCTGTCGTTAACGATGATCAGGTCAAACAGGCCGGGCTCCTTGCCTAGGGTGGGCAGCGGGCATCCCCGCAAGGCCAGAAGAGGATCAGTGAGAGGTGGGGAGCTGTACGTGACAGCTCCTGCCTCTGTCCTCCCCGCTCTGGCAGGCAAGCCATCTGCTGCAGGGGTCAAGGGACACTGGCCGAACCCACACACTCACTGCTTTCCATGTCTGCCCGGGCAGCGGCCAGCCGCTTGGCCAGGCTCTCTTCTGTCTCCGTGTTCCGTTGCCGCAACCTCTGCTCCTGAGGTGTCCAAAGAGGGTCAGAGCCTTCAGGGCAGCCCTGGCGCCTCCTCCACCCTCCCCTGCCTGGACTCCCACCCCCACCAGGACTTCCAGCGAGGGCGGCTGCACAAAGATGTAGATGGGCCTCAGGTCAGTCTTCTTTATGTTCCGAACACCCTGGAGGTCCACGTCCAGCACGCAGATTCGGTTCATGGCCTGCACCACCTGCACAGCCGCTTTGCTAGGGAGGCGGGGAGCAAGGGCAGCACTCAGCTGGGGCTCCCTGGGCCCTGGCAGTCCCACCGCCTCCACTGCCCTCTGCTACAGTCCTGCCTCCCCCAGCCCCTGCTCTGGGCCTGGGCAGGAGGGGTGGGGGCGTGCAAGGGTCCTCCCTGATCACAGCATCTTCTCCCCCTTCCTTGAAACACTCCCTCAGTAACCCTTACATGCTGGGCCCTCTACTAGGCTGGGGCCGGAAGTGGGGAGGGGCAGGACACAATCCTGGCTGTCACCGCTGGGCTCAGGACTGCTGAGTACCCACCATCTAAGGGTAACAGCAGCCCAGCAACCCCTTCCGGGGCTGAAGGCCCTTGACTGCCCCACGTGGGGTACAGCACGACAGCCCCGTGGTGGCTCAGGCACAAGCCGCACAGAGCAAGCCTGGGCCCGCCCGTGCAATGACACTGCTCGGGGCAGGGGGCAGGGCCGCTGTTGCCCCCCTGGGACCCTTCCAGGCTGTCCTGCTGGCTGGAAGGAAGGGGTGGGGGACCGCAGGAAAGCCTGCAGACCTCGTGAGTCTTCACCGCATACTAGCCCAGCACATGGCCCCCTGTTCCCACAGCGACCTGGCTGGGTGAGCTGATGTGGGGCCAGGAGGGAGCGGCCTGGAAAGCCCAGACTGCTGCCCAGACTCTTGACCCCTGAAGGGCTCTGACAGCTGGTAGAGAGAAGCCCTTGCCTGGGTCGCCCATTCTAGGTCCCTGGGGGTTTAGAGGAAGGGAGTGTGGCCCACCTAGTTCCATAAAGGTTCCCCGAGAACTCGGCATGCTCGATGAAGTCCCCGGCAGCAATGTCCCGCTGCATCACCTCCTTGGACACAAAGTAGTAATCTGCAAAGGGCAGGAGCTGTTGCAGCTGTCCACAGCCCGGCCACGAGGGCCCATGCAATCCCACACAGGCAGGACCAGCGTGTCCTGTGCCTGTCTGCCCGCCTGTCAATCCAGAGCTGTTCCAGCCACTAGGCAGGTAGATGTCTGAGGAGGGGACACACACCACTTCTGACACTGTCCTCACGGAAGGGGGCCTAGAGACTGCCAGCTTCAGTGGGGAGGCTGGGGGGGGCTTCAATGCTCTGCCTCAGGAAGCTACAAACACCCTAAGGTTACAAAAGATGCATGTGATACCAGAGAGCCCTAAGCGGTGTGCACGGCTCTGACCCCCGCAGCACAGCTGTGCCGCACAGTGCACATGCCAGGAGCAGGGCCCCTTGGCTTCAGGGTGCGGGGATCAGAGCCCCCAGAGACTCTCGCGTGGACATGCGGTATCTGCACGAGATCTGATGCCTATTATCTCACTAGGCCCACTCGCACCCCCCCGCCCTGGAGGACAGCCCCCATCAGAGGGGGAGGCTGAGGCCTCATGCATCACCCTGACAGTTGCGGGGAGGGGGCAGCTCCAGACTTGCAGTGGGGCACTGAGTGGCAGGGCCAGCTCACCTTTGCCATTCTCTTCTCCAGGCCTTGGGTCCCTCGTGGTGTCTAGGAACAAGCACCTATGACCCATCTGGTCATCCAAAACCCACACGCCCATCCCCAGGGCCTTCCCGAGGAACCCAGCTCAGCCTGGGAGGTAGGGGGAGCCCCAGGGGAGTCAGCACAGCAGTATGGGCACGTCCCATGCATGAGGGAGGGTTCCTGGAGGCGTTCAGCAGAGTGGGCATGTCCCTATGTATGTAGGGGTGAGGGGCTCCAAGGGGTCCCCAAACCCCTAGGACCTCACGGGACACGCTGAATCCGAAGATGCTGCCATGCTCCTGCAGCAGTCTCTTGAGCAGGGTGCTCTTCCCGGCCCCAGAAGGCCCACTCAGGACAACAGGCCTTGGTCCCGACATCCCTGTGGGCGAGTGGGAACAGAGGTCAGCAGGCCTGTGGGACCCCCGTGGGTAGGGTGGCTGCAGTTGCACCCCTCTCCCTGCAACTCTCACCAGGAATTGAGCAGAGCTGAGGGTCATGCTCCAGGCCTGGCTGCACCTGCCAGGGGGCTGGCCTCCCCAGCTGTGCACTCCTACCCCACCTGTGGAGGCTGGGCTCCTGCTGCTGGGAGGGGCATGTCTGGGTCCCCATTCCTGCATCTCCCGGCACCATGCCTCAGAGGTGGCCGAGGCTAAGGTTAGTGGAACAGTCCCTGTTCCGGGAACTTTCATTAGGAAGTGAGGGACTGACAGAGGGACCACAGCTTCCTGATCCTCCCCACCCCCATATGTGCTGGGAAGCCAGCACGAGAGCAGTGATGGTCCCTCCCAGCCCACAGCACAGGGCTCAGACATCTGCCACAGGTGAGAGCAGGCGAAGGGGGGGCGGTGGGGAGTCATCCACCCAGCCAGCTCTGTGCATGCCTGACACCCCCAGCCCCCTCCCCAGGACAGGGCCTACCTCTTGGGTGGGGTTCAGCCACCTCAGTCAGCTTGGGCTATTCAGCTTGTGCTGGGAGGGGTGGGTAATCCCAGCCAGCTCAGGCCTTTAAGCACTAAACTCCCAGGGCGGGTGGCCCTGCCCACTCGGGGCCCTAGGGAAGAGCCGGCTGCCCCGGGCCCTTTAGAAGTGGCCCACCCACCCAGCCACCTGAGCTTGATGGCAGGAAGGCCAGGTGCACGTGCACCCTGCCTCCGAGGGAAACCCCCGACAGAAGTGTGGGAGCTCGAGCAGCTCCCAATGCAGGCCTCACCCTGCACATCATCCGGGGACCCCCTGATAAGGTGTGGAGGCCCCCAAGGTGCAGTTCAGGGGTCAGCACATCGGCACTGAGGCCCAGGAGGGACAGGCCGGTTGGCTCAGAGATGCCCTGTCACCCCTCGCCAACAGGGCCCCCAGCACACTGCTTTCCTAATCCGCGATGTAGGCCACCTGGGTAATCTCGCTGCGCCCCGCTGTTCTGGGGCTACCATACCACCCACATGTCGCATGCCGCCTGCAGAGGAAGGTGGGAAACACACAGAAAACGGGACCCTCAGGAACCCACCAACACCCGAGTGTTCTGGGCCACTTGCAAGTTTCCATTACAAAAATGCCTTGTTTCTATGTAGAGATCACCCCAGTGGACTCCCAGCTCCTCTCTGGCATCCCAGTTTTCCCACCCAAATGCATGTGCCATATACACACCTGCATGTACATGCACGTGGCTCTAAGCCCAGGGCAACTGCCCACTAGCAGAGTGCAACCCTGTCCCTCCCCGGAGGCCTGGGCATGAGAAGTCCCATCTCTCCCTCACCAGCACCCTTCACAAAGCCCTGTACTCTGCAGAAAGGATGTCCCGGGGCAGCCCAGCCCACTTCTCTGAGTGGTCCTGACTTCCTAGGCAACAGGTGACCGGGGAAGCGAGTGGAGGAAGAGACCCAGCAGAGCAGAGGTCAGGCCGGGGGCCGCCAGGTCCCAAGAGGGGCTAAGGAGGCTAGGGTCCAGCCCCCCGCCACCCAGCTTCTTGGTCAGGGCTCAGTCTCTGCCCCTCAGGCCGGGACGCTGTGGCCACCTGCTGGCCCAATTCTCCCTGACCTGATGGTATGTTAGGCATCACAGGAACATGGTTCTTTCAGCACAGGAGCAGCCCCAAGCAGACACCTGGTGATGGCCACAGCAACGGGCCAGGGGGAGCTCCCACCTTATCTTCAGGCCCACTACCTGCCTGCACTGGGCCCATGGTGAGCAGGGGGTGCACCTGCACAGGACTGGCTGGCAGCCACAAAGCTCACTTCCCGCCTGGCTACGAAGCATTGACCCCCAGCTCCTCCACACAGGGCTCCTTGAGGCCCTACCGACATCAAGCTCAAGCTCCAGGCCCCCCCAGTGCAGCCATCGCCTGCCCAACTCTGCGCTCTCGTAACGGAGAGGCCCAGCCTGCTCAGCCTGGGGAAGGGCATGTGTGCTGACTCTTACCCCGTGGGGCCCACAGAGCTGAGTCCCGCTTGGAGGTTGGCTCCCAGAGCAAAAGGGCCCCCCAGGAGTGGCCTGGCCCTGCAGAAGTGCCCGGGGAGCCGTGGGAGACAGGGCTCTGTCAAGTTACCTCACAACAGACCACTCACTGAAGCCACCTTCCACAGCACACCCAGCGTGGGATGGCGCTCTGGCCTGGAGGCCTCTACAATCGAGTACCCAGAGACTGACGTTGACCCCAGAGCCTGCAGAACCAACTGAGGGCGCTCTGTGCTCCACATTCCTTGAGTATCCCACAGTCCCGAACCTTAGTGGCCCGGCAAGGAGTGGGAACGCGCACAGTGCTGCAATAGAAACCTGGGGCGCAAGCCCATGATTCCGGAATGCTTCTGCTGGGACCCTGCCCAAGGAGCCCAAGGCAGCCACGTACCCTCCTTGCAGAACAGGAGAAGGGACCTCCTCTTTCTAGTTTCATCCTGCTCTGTGCCAAGAGCCAGGCACTGTCACCACCTCACCTCCCTCCCACTCCTCAAGACACCCCAGAGAGGGTGTGACCTCTGAGATCTGAGAACATGGAGAGAAAAGGTCAAGTCCTGCCAGCAACTTACATGCTACAAGATGGGAAGAAATCTGGCTCAAGACAGCAGGTCACGTCCCACCCCTCACACAGACCCTGCGGGGCAGGGCTCTGTGTGCGCGACACGTCCTGGACAAGCAGTTTTGACAAACCACTCAGCCTTGGGAAACTGGCCTGACCACAGAGCAGCCAGCTGTTTCTTTCTCACTTCTCCCCACAGCAGGCGAGAACCACCCCTTCCATGAGAGGAAGCTGCCCCTCAAAGGCACTGTCAAGAGCCACACCATGCAGGACCGGGGCTTGTCTCGGTGCTGCACGGCATGTCTGGGTCTCTTTCCACAAAGGAGAGGACGGATTCAGTCCTGCACCGCATCCCAACTCTGCACCATGGGCAGAGGGCAGAGGAAGCACAAGAGGGGAAGGGTCCCGGCAAGCAAGCCACGGAGCAGGAGGGACACAGGCTGTGCAGGGCATCAGCCGCACCTTCACAGAGAGGAAACCAAGATCTGCAAATGCAGGGTCAGCAGGAACCAGGGGAGGCAAAACCAGGAAGCCTGAGGCCCGGCCCACAAAGGGTCAGCAGGGAGCCGGGGAGCCCGAGGCCCGGCCCAGGAATGGTCAGCAGAGGCTGGGAGCCGGGGAGCCCGAGGCCCGGCCCACGAAGGGTCAGCAGGGCTGGGAGCCGACTACCGAGGTGCCCTTCCGGTGCCCCGGTGGCTCGCCCTCACTGCTGACCACCCTCCAGGTGGGCTGGAGCCACCTCTCTCCACGTCTAACCACATCACCACCTGCCCCCTTCGTTTCTGTTCCTCCTCAGAGCAACTGAATGTGTTTTTCTGGCTACGCGGAACATGTCACAAAAGACTGAAGTTTACAGTTTAGGAGTGAAAAAAACCCAGCAATGCTGCTGTGGCAGAATAGAAAAGTAGTGAGTGCACCACGGTAGCTCCCGGAATCTCCTACTCAAGGAAATTACTGGTATCACCGGTCCCAGCCAAAGATCAAAAGCCAAGTCTACGTGAACCCAGAATCTAAACAAAGGCCAGGCACACTGCACCTGGCACAGGTGTGGCCGCGACCGAGGTAGGAGCGAGCGGCGTGTCAGGGTGGCCGTGAGCAGGGACAGAGGGGGGACTCACCCGGCAGGAGATGAGGCTTGGCAGGGGCAATGCGGGAAACCCTACCCGCCCCGATCCCTCCTGGGGCGACGGGAAGGGCTTTCGCGCCTCCCTCCGAGCCACTCACGGCCCGGAAGGCCCAAGACTGACAGAAAAGCCTGCATCTGGACAGGCACGCTGCCGGGAAACTCACAGCAGGCTGGCCACGAGGCGCGAGTCTGGGCTCCGCTCCTCCAGTCCCCGGGGGCGCCACCGCCGCTTACAGCACCCTCTTCCCCAGGGAAAGACGACAGTGACGACAGGTGGGGTGACGCGCCTCACTGCTCTTCCCCAACCGCCCCTGGATGGACCAGGCTCATTCCCACTCTGTCCCCAAAAGAATGTCTAAGAACAGGAGAAGGGCGGCCCCACAACCCAGACTTGAGGGCTCTGGGCCTGAGGGAAGCTGAACATCAAATTATCACACCCCCTAGCCAGGAGCGCCTGCCCGCGCCACCCGCTCCGGGGCCCGGCCCCGGCAGCCCGCGCCACCCTGGGCGCGCGCGCGCGGACGGGGGCTGCGGGGACTCCGCTCGGGCGGCCGTCGGCGCCGCAGGGTTCTCGGCTCCGCGGCGCGGCCCACCTCGGGGCGGGCGCCAGGCTGCTCCCCTCCGCCTGCTTCCGGGTCCACACCGGCATCCAGCGCGAGTCCTCAGGCTGCACAGGTTTTACGAGCTGTCCGGCGCTGGCCGTGCCAGGAGGATTCCCTCCTACGGTCTGAGCACTGGCACAGAAGAACCGACTTTTAATGGGCCTAAGTAAGAAAAACGACCACCGAAAGCCACTTTAACACCCCCACACACGAACACAAGAGGACACAACCTCAGAACGAAGGGCGACCCAATACGTGGAATCAATGCATCTCCATAAAAAGCCACACTACCCTGTCCTCGAGTCCCCCGCTCTGCTCGCCGGGCCGCTGCGACAAGCCAGCCCTGGAAACCCCTGAGGACCGCGGGGGCTGCCCCGTGAGGCCCCTGCGCACCGGAGGCGCGCGGGAAGCGGCGTCCCGGGCGCGCGGGGAGAGCTGAACGCGAACGGCTCGGGACAAGCGGGGCCGCGGCGGCGCCCAGGAAGGCTCTCGGGAGCCTGGGCGCCCAGACGCCACTCACCGTCTGACGGGGCACGGCCCAGGGCGGCCGCCGCCAGCCCCGCCAGCGGGCGCCGCAGCATAAAGGGCCGCCGCCAGCACCCTCAGAGGCGTACGCCGCAGCGCCACGCCGGTCCACTTCCGCTCGCGGGACCCACGTCGGCACCGCCCCGGTCCCGCCCCGCCCCTGACGGCTGTACGTAAGCGCCGCGCGACGGAGCGCTCGCGGACGACCTGCGGCCGCGCCTCCAGGGGCTGGGGGTCGGTCACGCGGGGACTGCGTGCGGCGCCGCCACTCCCACGCCGCCTGGCCAGGGGTTGCCGGGTCGCGGGCCCTCGAGGTCGCCCCCAGGTCAGTGAGGGTGGCAGGTTGGAACCGCGTTGTGCGGGCCGGGCGGGCCTCGCTGAGGAAGGGAGGGTTCGGGCTCCGCGGGCACCCGCTCGGGAAGCTCACAGCGTTTCCTTCTGCGGCCGGGTGGTCTCCTAAGGCGGACGGAGGCCTGCAGATGCCCTGTTCTGACAGGTAGGGGACAGCAAGGCAAATCTGCCTCTCACCACCCGGAGGACTCGTTTCTGTTTTTGGAGGGGTCGGAATGCCGAGACGTCAGGCCGTTAGCTTTGAAATTTCCGATTTATCACAGCACGGTCACAGACGCTTCCCTGCCAGTCCGGGCTTCCTAAAAGTGACCCCGGGCCTCGGCTGCCTCCACGTGCCGCAGGGGCCCTTACCTCGCTGGACTTTGTGAGAACTAGATGACCGTAACAAACAAGGTGTGAACCAGCTTCCGTTCATCTTGCCCTTCTCGCTCAGAGCAGCTTCCTGAGTGTAACTCACCAAGAACGGGCCCAGGTCCCGCCGAGACGGACCGAGTCAGGATTTGGGGAGTAGGACCTGGGCATCTCGTTCACAGACCTTCGACAGGTGGTTCTGATGCCAGGTCAGGGCCGAGAGCGTGAGGGCTTCCAGGGAGAGACTGGCAGTGACCTAGGAATAACACACCCGCTCGGAGATGTGACTGGCTCTGTGGCTTTCTTCCCGGCTGGGACTCGGCAAGGACCAGTTATGTGGAAAAGCCTGTTAAAAAGGGTTTTCTTGCTCAACAGGTGCCACACGGGACTAGCGACGGACCTCGGCCTGCACATGGCACAGTGGTGCTCAGGAGGAATGGCGGTTGCAGGCAGCTTGCTTGGGTAAGCACAGCCTTCCAGGGCCCTTGGGGTTACCGTCGCGGGGCCACCCAAAGGAAGGTCAACTCTGGAGCCTCACACTGTGCTCCCGAGCATTACCTGGGTAACACAAGTACACACGTACAGAGGCCTTGACAGGGTGTTGAGGGGGGAATAGGAGCAGCGTTGACTGCTTAGCATCAAACAGGCGGTGGTGGCGGTCGCCTTCCCATTCTGAGCCAGCCCCGCTCTGGTCCCTGGGGAATGCCACAGCCTTCCTGCTATTCCCACTGGAACTGCCTCTCTGTCTGCCTGCTCCCTTTGCCCCATTGCCCCCCGCCCCCCAAAGGGGAAGCACGCTGTGGTTCGTGTTCCCAGAGGAGGAAACGAGGGCAGGTTTCTTATTCCGGTGGAATGTGGGGAGAGGGAGGTGGCACTTGAAGTCTGAGTCACTGTGAACATGGGAAAGGGACTCTGGCTGCAGCATTCCCGGGAGGACCCTCATCCTGGGAAGGGTTCATGTGGGAACCAATCTCCTCAAGGGTTCACTCCATCCTCTTCCAGAGGCTTCCTCCACCTATTGATGTCAAGTTCTCATGAGTGGCTGTGCCCTGGGCTCCTGACGCTGGCGGCAGGCTCCTCCGGTGCTGGAGCCCCCCGCCGTCTCCTCTCTCCTGTCCCTCCCTTCTGAAGGCAGGGACTGGCTCAGCTCATGGCCTGGGACTTAACAGTAAATAAGTTGTGGTTCTCATGACCAGGCCATCAGAGCCTAACAGAGGAGATGGGCCCTCAGCCCTGGGCATCAGCTGCGAAGTGCACGGGGTGGGTCTGAATTCAAAGTTGCATGACAGCCAGGCTCAGGAAGTGGACTTTGGGGGTCACAAAGCAAGGCCCCAAGTGAGTAAGAGACGGGTGGGGCAGAGTAGGGACTCGCAGTTTCTTGTCACCTTGGAGCACGTGTTCTGCCCTGTGCAGGAGGTCTCGAGTGTCTGCCATGTCCAGAAGCAAGTGGCCTCCACGGGTCTTGGTGTGCGCAGGCTGCCCCCACAGCATGCCACAGACCGCACACACACAAGACTGCACAGCTTATTTCCCGCGGTTCTGGAGGCTGGCCTCTTCCTGGTTCATAGATGGCCACCTTGCCCACATTCTCACAGGGCAGAGAGCAAGCAAGCTCCAGTCTCTTCTTGCAAGGATGCCATTCCCCCTGCAGGGGCCTCACTTTCATGATCTCACGTAACCCTAATCGCCTCTCCGGTGCTCTGCTCCTAGTGCCCTTTTATTGGGAGCTAGTGCTTCAACATGTGAATTTGGAGACATAAACATTCAGTGCACAGCATCAGGTCTGTGTTCCCCTAAAAGGTGGCTTCCTGCTTTGTGCTCATGTTCAGGGCTCCAGACACCTAGACTGCTGTCCTAAGCCATCTGTCCTTGGCAGTCTGGGGGCCTCGTGTTCTCACACCCCTTGGCCTCTTCCCAGACGTGGGGTAGGAGCTGCTCTGACCACATCCTGAACCTAGGGGGTCGCTGTGGGCACCCACAGGCGCTGGCTGCCTTGGGCTCAGTGGGCACGCATCTCGGCACCCGCCCGCTGACCCGCATGTGTATCTGCAGACTGCTGCGGCGGCAGCTGGTGACGGGGGTCATGCCTGCGAGCCGCTGCTTGCGTACATCCCCCCGCCAGGCTGACAGCAGCAGAGCCGCACTCACTCGTGTGCGCAGACAAGCCTATGCACGCCTCTACCCTGTGCTCTTGGTCAAGCAGGATGGCTCCACCATCCACATCCGCTACCGGGAACCCAGACGAATGCTGGTGGTAAGCATCCCTCCTTCGGGTGCAGGTCTGGGCTCGATGGGGGAGGGGAGGGCAGGCAAGTCACAGAACCCCGTGCACCAAGATCAGACAGCAGCAGTGGGCTGTGTGATAAAAAAACAAATAAAAAACCAGAACATGTCCTGGATAAACAAGCAGAAGAAATTTCTTCCAAGAGAAGCTTTGAAGGGAGAAAAGTGGGCATCAAGAGAGCATCCTTGTCCATTTCATTGACCAAGTGCACACCCGCTTTCCACAGATGCCCATGGACCTGGATTCCCTGTCCCCAGAGGAGAGGCGGGCACGGTTCCGCAAACGTGAGGCCCAGCTCCAAGGGAAGGAGGAGCCAGAGTTCCTTGACGATTTTGACTTGGAGCAGTACAAGCAGTTTTGGACCAAGAAGTGACCATGCCCACAGCTGCCCTGGCTCAGGATGCTGGAGAGAGGGAGGGGCATTCATTTTTAAATTGAGTATCAGTGTTGTAAATCCACCTTGTCTGTCTGTCTCAAATGCGCTGGAGCGGGCTGTGTGAGACTGAGCCCAGTGGAGGGCCGAGTTGGGTCAGGCTGTGGTTTGAGGACGTGGCTCAGAGGGCACGTGGGCTGTCACAGGTGCTCCTCCCACTGCAGGAGGCGCCCGCTGCTGCGCAGCCACTTGGCTCTGGAGCTCCCACTGCCAGCACTGCCTTCGCCTTAGTGCCAGCGGCGCTCCAGCCAGCACATGGCATAAGGAGTAGGTGGGATCCAAGGACGCAGGCTCCTAGCCTGCAGCTGGCCTGCTCTGCCGCTCTCCGGGGTTCCCCCAGCCATGCCCGTGGGCAGTGGGAAGGTGCTTCCTGACATGGACCAAGGGGAGCAGCTGCATTGCTAACACTTCAGGTCTTAGCTGTGAGCTACATTTGACTGCCATCTTCTGGCCAAGGGGTAGGTTTCACGCTGACGGGATGGGCGATCTTCAAGACCTGAGGGAGTGATCCCGTCTTTACAGGAGCACCTCGCCCAGGCCTGGGGCTGCACCTCACCCTGCACTGGGGGTTGACTGCAGAACCCTGGCTGTTGGGTGCTTTCTCATAAACCTGAGGGCCCATGGTAGAACACTGCCATACACGCTGGTGGTGCGGAGGGCCTATCAGACACGACCAGGGAGGCAGACGCCTGTAGGATGCTATGCTGCCTCTGATGGCAGCTCAGAGGGAGGGACGCTGGGCTGAGCACCCACCTTGGCCTCTGGCTTGCAGTCCTCCTCCTTGGTCTTCTGAGCATGCAGCTGGCCCTGTGCAGCTACTCGGGCAATTGCCCTCCAGGGTTTGCCAGCCTTCTGGCCTGCTCAGGGACATTCCCACCCTGGGAAGCCTCCCTGGAGGCCGCATCCCTCCAGCTGCTACCCCAGCTCACTTTTACCACTCACCTCCGGGGGCACCCAGCAACAGTGTCAGCACTCACTGTTCAGGGCCAAGTTATTCATGATAACTTGCTGAAGATGGCAAGGCAGACCTTTCTCAAAGGAAGGGTGTGGGTGTGGGTGCACTGGGGGGAAGAGGCTGAGTATTGCATGAAAAGGGATTTGTGCCAGGAGCAGGGTGGGGTCAGTGATGGGAAGGCACTAAGAGTACTGGGGGGCAGGGGTGTCTGGCCAAACCCACCCGACAGGATTGCTGCTGAAGTCATGCAGACTTGGGCATGAGGAGCCCAACTAAGTATGGAGGGCAGGGGTTCTTGGGAGAACTGGCGGCACAGAGAAGGACCTAGAGGCTCAAGGTCTGGTTGGAGAGCTCTGAGCAGCCTAAAGTTGTCAAGCAGTCTTGTCTGCACTCCATAAGGGGGGGGGGGGCTCCCTATTGCCCCTCTCATGCTTCTGTTCCCCTTTATTCCAGTCACCTCACCCAAAAGTGCCATTAACACTGATTACCCGCAGTATCCAGACTATGGGCCTTCCCCAAGTGGTGGTGGGGGTTTGGGGAAGCAGGCTGAACTGACACTGCTGCTCCTCGGTGCTTCCTTCTGCAGAAAAGCACCCTGCAGAGGGCGCGCCTGTGGCTTTGGGTTTGCTGTCCCCACACTGGTGGTCACTGAGCAGCTCCAGGGGCAGGTTTGGAGTTCCCGTGTGAGGGGGCTGAGGCTCAAACTCGACTTAGTGGTTGGGGCTCAAATCCTGTTGACTCACTGTGAAAGCCCCCAAAAAGGCTAGGGAGGGAGTCAGTGGAGGCGAGTTAGGACAGCAGGTAGAAGCCTCTTCATTGCTGTCCCCATGGAATACCTCCGGGCCGCCTAAGTGGGATAATGCGCTAGGGCAGCATCCTGCAAAAGAACCTGCGCAAAGGAGAACACAGGGGACGCCCTGTTGCACGTCCTAAGTCTGCAGCCACTCTACGGAGCGGGTCCTGCCTCTGTGACTCATGGTGGTGACAGGCAAGGCACACTTGTCTGACAAGTACGCTGAGCCATCAGCAGTGAGCGCCACGTGCCTGTGCTGAACCTTGGCTAGCAAGTGGGCAGGCGTTCTTCCCGGTGCTGCCGCGGACTAAGCGCGGTTCTGCGCGTGTCCACGCCCCTCGCACCCCGGGACCACCCCCTGGTCCCCACTGCTGCGGACATGATAGCGAGAACCTCAGTGATGCAGGAGACTCGTCTCACTAGCTGTTCTTCGGAGTGCCTGTCTGCTGGGCCCTGGCATACAGCACACATCTGGGACAGTGGCTTTTGAGCGCCGCCCCTGGACCTTGGCGTCACTACACAATGTGACTTCTAATAATGGTTGTGCCGGCCAGGAACTTGGGTCCAGCTTCTGTCTTTTCCGGGGCCGGCTTCAGAGAGCGGAAGTGCTCCCGCACGCTTGTTTTAAAACCAGAGCAGAGCGGAACTGAGACGCGGAAGGAGTGGTGCGTGAGGCGCACTGCGACAGGGAGGTGGGGTGCGGCGTGACGTCACCACGCGCGACGCGGAAGTGAGAAGACCAAGGCACCCAGAGAAGGCTGGACGTTTGGCTCCAGTTGAGGTGGCTTAGAGGGCAGGACACGATCAACTGGCGAGACGTCAGATTAACTGTCAGGGCGTGAAGACCAGCGAGCAAAGGGAGTGTCCCGCCATCTCACGGGGGAGGGGGCGGTCTGGGTTCCTCTTCCTGTTGAAGACACGGGATGGGCCGTCTCCCCTGGAGACCCTCAGCTTCCTGGCCCAGGAAACTGGGGCTGGTTCTCCACGGTCGGGGCACACTGCACTCCCCCTCGAGTGGCTCCCTTGACAGCACCTTGCGTGGAGAACAATCAGCCAGGCGCCTTCCCGCCTGGAAGCCGAGGCCGGAGCAGAAGACGGAGCCCGGGTAAGGACTGGCCGAGAGCCCTGGGCCCAGGGGTTACAGGACTCAGGGCTCTCAGCAGGCCCGCAGTCTCCCTCTGGGGCCAGTCGTGTTCCTGGCCTCAGACCCATTTTTCTTATCAGGAGCCTCCCTAGGTTGAGCCCAGTGCCATCCCGGCTCTGCCCACTGGACCCCAGAGGTTGTGCGGCCCCATGATATGAGGTGCCCCCCCCCCCCGCCACCCACCAGCTGCCTCCGGAGGCCAAGTGAGAGGGTAGCGTGTAGGAGGGCGTACTACCTGGCAGGGAGTGTGTTGGAGGAGCCTTGGGAAGGCCCCTCTCTGAGCTGCCTACTATGCCAGACAGCTGGCCATGTGTGGTACTGAGGAACTTCACTCAGTGAAATAGCCGCGCATGGGTCAGTGGCTACTGTGGTAGTCCTGGCACTTGGCGTTATCTCCAACGCACAGCCCAGAGAGTCACAAGAACAGGAAAAATAAGCACAATAAAGAGGCGAGAGAAAAGGAGCACAGCACCTGGGCAGTGTCCTTGGTGTCTCTGGCTCCTACCAGCTACGCACAGCAACTCCGTCTGTGGGGGTAGGCCAGGTGCCAAGTGGCCCCTCACCCTGGGCATCCCCTGGTCTCCCCAAGATGTCTAGGTGAGGCCTCCCCAGATGGCACCAGGCCCACTGGGGACAGTACATCTGCCCAGGAGGTCAGCCTGCCTTAGGCTCCAAATACTGCTACTTCTGTTTTCGTGTTGACTCCCCCATTGTACTTTACTTACTTTAAACTGAAGATGTGTTCCAATACAGAGAGATGTGTGAAAATGTGGTGAATGCCTTGGGTTCCAGCAGGATCTGAGACCCCACCAGGAGGGGGACTCCCAGTGGCCAGCAGAGAGGGTAGACGAACCAGAAATGGCTCAGCTATGAGGCCTTGCTGAGGTATCCAAGTGCGGGGAGGGGGGGGTGGGGAGACACGGACGGGGACGGGACGCGGCGGGGACCAGGCTGGGTGCTTCCATCTGGTGGGTGTGGGGTGGGGGTGGCCTTGTACCCGGAGACACCCTTATTGCTCAGCCACCCAGGGACTGTCTGCCCAGTCCCATGCCTCCCTATTTATTTGCTTGCTGAGTCTCCTCTGCTCCTTCCAGGCAGGGCAGAGTCCCAGGTGTGCCTCCCTTCCCAACTCCAGCTCCTCTGCTGGGAAGTATGCCTGTAGCCATTCACCACCTTGTCCCCAGAAGAAATGAAAACTTACAATCACATTGGAGTAAAGACAAAACCCAGGCTGGATTCATTATTATGAAATATATTCAATTTGCTTCTAATCTTTAAAGACATAAAAAGTAAAGATTATTCTATCTTCAGAGCCCTGTTTCTCAACTTGTTAGACTATTATCTCAGGCTGGACAGGGCAGAGGGTTGGCCATACAAGGGTTGGATGGATACCTGGACCTCGGCTTGGCCAGGTAGTAGGGGTGCCCAAAAAGGCTCTAGGTCAGAGGGACAGCCCCCAAGGAACTGGTAGGGTGCCCACTGCACCCAAACGGGCATAGGTGTGTACCGTGGTAAAGGCTCCCGAGGCAATGATATAGAACTAGGCCAAGGGTTCCCATCTCTCCTAGGGGCATGGCCCATTGGGCACACCCCACTTTGGGACCTTGCTGATCCTCTCTCAATCTGGCATCACCAAGACTGGACCAGGACTGAGACTGGACTGCCAGTGGAAAGAGCCCAATGAGGAAGTCCCCTCAAGGGCGCTGGGACACACCCACACCTACCCTCAAGAGGTGGGGAACTGGTCTGGGGTGGGCCAGGGGTTGGCCACATTCCCTAAGCCATTCCTGCCCACACCCCAGGAGGCAGCCTTGGTCAGCAGCACCCATGCACTGGAAAGCCATGAAATAGTTAAGAGATTTTATTCTAATAGCTATAATTACAGTGCTTGTTTGTCGAAATGAAAACTGAAAACAAGTATACAAAAACAGTTGATTACTAATTGTGTATTGAAAGCAGTAAGAGGTTCCACGACACCAGATAAACCAGTTCTGAGGTTTCCCCCAAGATAAAGTTTAACAGCTCCAGCTTCTTCAGTGTTTATCAAAATACAAAAGAAAAAAGTAGAGGTTGTTGATTTTGATGTCAAATCTGACCCTTGCAGGCTGAGGGAGTGAAAGCACATGTGGACGGGGGCTCTGAGGAGCTAGGCTCTAAGATGACCGGTCACCTGTCCGCGCTCCTACGGTAAGACCCAGACAACCTGGAGCGACTGAGCGTGCATGGGAACATGGGAGGGCTCCTGCTCTGGCCAGAGTGATCCCACCAAAGCACCTACACCAACCCAAGGGAAGGCCGGGGTCCCTCCAAGGGATCCGTGAGTGGTGGCCACAGGCCCCTGCCCTTCCCCAGGGCAGTGGTGTAAGCACAGGTACAAGCAAACGCTATGGGATGCGGAAGACCCAGTGAGACAGCCATTCAGGGACCGTAAGTGACCATGCAGAATGTTTTGTGGCTGGTTCTGCCCACCACATGCTCCAGACGGGAGAGACCACGAGTAGACTGGACTCAAGCCATTACTGCAGAACCTACACTAGGCACATTTCTCCCTTCTGTGTTCAAGTGTCTCTTTATCTTGTATTTGTACTATTTTAAAAAATGCACTGAGTTTGGGTTAAAAACCAACCATCAAAATGGATCTCAACACAGATCTAAAGCCCAGAGGAGGAGCGCTGGACTGATCTGACAGCGACTCCTAGAGGCCCCCGGGTGCCTAAAATCCCTTCTCAGTACTAGATAGTGGGTTGATTCTCATTTTACAATAAAAAAAGCTGAGTAATATTGCATAGGAGTACCAGAAACTGCCTCATTGGAAACAAGAACTATTTACATTAAATAAAAACCCGGCTGCAGGCTGCGTCTGCACATGTACAGCATGGTGAAGCACACTGGGACCGACCATGGAGACAGCTTCTGGCACTCACACCACAGGGGCACGGCTGCCACATGAGAGGAAAGCGAGGGTGGAGGAGGGAGTGAGGGGGGAGAGAAGAGTGCGGCTCACTTCTGGTTCCGGAGCTGATTGGACAGCCAGTCCAGTCCCTCATAGAGCCCGTCCCCACTGGTGGCACAGGTGGCCTGAATGTACCAGTTCCTGTGGCGCAGTGAGTGCAGGCCCAGCTTGTCCGTGATCTCGGCCGCGTTCATGGCATTGGGAAGGTCCTGGTGGGAGGGGCAGGGTGGCATGGCAGCCATGAGTCCTCAGGGAGACTGGGGACCCGCCCTCCGACCGCACCTGTGATCCCTTCAGACCGCCAGCCCCTCGGGGTGGCCTGACCACACACAAGCGCATACCTGCTTGTTTGCGAACACGAGCAGGACAGCATCCCTGAGCTCGTCCTCTGCCAGCATCCGCATGAGCTCCTCTCGGGCCTCGTTCACACGCTCTCGGTCATTGCTGTCGACCACAAAGATGAGACCTGCCGAGGAGCAGGCGTCAGTGAGGGCGCCAAGGACACTCGACCTCCCCCACAGGCCCCACCCCCGGCCCTCACCTTGCGTGTTCTGGAAGTAGTGGCGCCACAGAGGCCGGATCTTGTCCTGACCGCCCACGTCCCACACGGTGAAGCTGATGTTCTTGTACTCCACAGTCTCCACGTTGAAACCTTAAGGAGCACGGCCCGGTGTGAGCCCAGCCCCCGCAGCCCCCGCAGCCCCCGCAGCCCCCAGTGGCCCAGCCTCCTCACCTATGGTGGGGATGGTGGTCACGATCTCGCCCAGCTTCAGTTTGTACAGGATGGTGGTCTTCCCCGCAGCGTCCAGGCCCACCATGAGAATGCGCATTTCTTTTTTGCCAAAAAGGCCCTTAAAGAGGTTTGCAAAGATATTCCCCATGCTGCAGACCAGAGGGAGAGACACTGGCCAGAGAAACCTGCAGAGACAAGGAAGGGGTCCTTAGGTCTCTTTCTGTGCTACCCAGGGTTAGCAGCACAGGAGCAGCTCAAAGACCATCCACCTCTCTCACCATGGACAAAGAGGCAAACACCCTGCTTTCTCCTGAAGACTCACAGGACAGAAGCTAGAGAAGTTCCAGTTCCCAAGCTACAGCAATAGTCCTGTCTGCTGGGCCTCTCAATCCAGCCCTCCCCATCCCCCTCAGAAGGGAAAGCCTGGGAATCTTAGGAACAGGGCTGACATTTACCACCCGACATCAATGGCTTTCTAAGGAATGCCAGGTCCTCTCCAATCCAACAGAACTTTCCAAAGGGACCGGAAACAGCTGAACCAAGGACACACGGTGTCTCTCAATTGCCTCGCCAAGCCCCAGTGAAACACAGCCCATGCTCAAGATGACAAGTGCCTGGGGAACTAGAGCCTCCCAGCCCCCAACAAACCAGAAGCCAACCTTTCTCAACAAACCCCGCAGGCAGGACACTAGGACCAGCAACACCTGGGCACTGAGTTCAAGGCACAGCAAGGGCCCCAGGGCAGCACTGTCAAGGGGGCTCTTTCCCACCAGCGAAGGCTGCCCCAGTCCCCAAGAGAAGGGGGCCTGTGTGGTGGGTCAGCATGCTCGTGTGAGAACACCGGTGCCACGTCCAGGCAACAGTCTTAGCCCAGGCTCCCCTCACTCAGCAGAGCAAAATCGCTGTAACATCACCCCACCAAATGCGTCCTAAGGTCAGAGAGCAAGTAGGGCTCTGTTCCAGGTGGCCCCAGGACACGAGAGCTACCCAGGCCTGGCCTCTCTAAGCTGCAGCGCTTTTACTCTTCAACTTTTATTCCAAACGAGGAAAAACGGTCACTTTCTCAAATGCTGATGTACCTGCCCCCAGAAGTAACCAAGAGCTGCAGTCTTTGGACTATGAACAAATACTGCTGAGTCAGAGGCCAATGAAGGGCATCATACGGACCTGGTGCAGGCACGCCCACCACACCTACCTAGGGGGTGTGTCCACATCCCCACGGCCCCTGACCCCCTGATGACCCCGACACCCTGATGACTGGCTCAGGTGGAGTCACCAGGTCTCTCCACTCAAGTTCTCCCCACCTGAGCACCAAACGACAATGTGCACACCCAGCTCATCAAACACCCACCCTCTCTGGTTGCAGCACTCTGACATTTTCTGTCAAGGGTGCTTTTCTATCCAGCCGTTCCTTCCTGTTGTTGGCACTCTGCAGTGCTAACACTAGGAGACAACAGTAAGAAACCACCTTTCCCGCTCCAGGTATTGACACGGGCATGAACTCCCACATTCCTGTTTCACTCAATGGGTCAGAACCAGCTGCCCCATTGTGAATATGATGTTTCAACAGTACCAAACATGGCCAGCGGGAACCCCTTCCAAACTAGCTTCAATGTGCTTTTGTCACTTTTTAATTTTTTTTTCTTTTTGTTTTGAATAATATTACTCATTCAAAAAATTAAATTTTAAAATGTAGTAAGATCTTTAACGTAACATTTCCTTTTCTGCAAACGGCAAGCTTTCCTAAACACAAAGGGTGAAAAATTATGGAACACAGATTAAACACACACCTATTTCATTTCACTCCTGAAATCATTACCGACAAACAAAGTGATGCCTGACCCACATGGGACAAAGAGAAAAGGAAGGTAACGCAGTGTGGTGGGATCTGACTGCATGCTCACCCTTGTCCTCAGCCCTGCGGCAGAGCAAAGGGCTCTGACTCGGCTCTCTGGGCAGAGGAGGGCGAGGGCTTATGCTCTACTGGAAAGAGAGGGATGTGGCGCACTCTACAGGGAGGCATAGGAGACCCAGGGGCCTCAAAGCAAGGACCAATGGAGGACCCCAAAACAGCCATGACCTATGTCCCTTTACGAAGCTCCCCTGGAAGAGACCAAAACAAGCAAGGAATTTTCAGGGAGGCAAGACAGAAGACCCAGACTATTTAAAAAGAAAGCAAACAAAACCCTTCCCCCACACACAGCTCTGCGGTCAACAAGGTGGGTATGTGGGGCCTGAAAAGTAAGAACAAGGTGTCAGGAAACAAACAGCAACAGCACAGAGCTGACAAAACCACAAAAAGCATGGATAATTAAGGGAAAACTAGGAGAATTTGAAAAACCATCATCTACCTTAGGCATGGTGATTTGGTGATGACTTTTTTGATAGAAAACCAAATATACCCTCCGGGAAAGAAGTACTAAGCTGGACTTTGTTAAAACTGCAAGGTTCTGACCTGGCTGGTGTGGATCAGTGGACTGAGCATCAGCCTGTGACACAAAGGGTCACAGGTCGACTCCCAGTGGGGGCACATGTCTGGATTGCGGGCTATGTCCCCAGTTGGGGGCATATGACAGGCAACTGGTTGATGTGTATCTCCCACACATCGATGTTTCTCTCCCTTCTTTTCTCCCTCCATTCCCGTGTCTCTAAAAATAAATAGAATAAAATGAAATTGCAAGCTTCTACTCTAGGAAAAACCACTGTCAAGAGAAGGAGAAAGTATTTGCCAAAGACACATCTAATAAAGGACTGTCGTCCAAAACCACACAAAGATTAGTTAAAACTCAACAATAAAGAAACAAAAACCTGATTTAACAAACAGGCCAAAGGCCTTAGCAGACACCTCAGCAAACAAGATGTACACAGAAGGCAAATGAGCCATGAAGAGATGCTCCACATCACATTTCCTCGGGGAAATGCAAATCAAAGTAACGAGCTACCACTACACACCTGCGAGAATGGCCAACACCAGGATCACAAACAGGGGTGAGGATGGGGTGGCAACAGGAGCTGGTGGGAATGCAAAACGGTGCAGCCACTCTGGAAGACAGTTCGGCAGTTTCTCACAAAACTGCAAGCAATTGTGCTCCCTGGTATTAACCCAAAGGAACTGCATGTTTACTGCAGCTTTATTCATAATTGCCCAAACTTCAGTAGGTGGAGGGATAAACCAACTGTGCTACAACCCTATGATGGCGTATTATTCAGCACTAAGAAGAGGCCAGCTATCAAGCCATGAAAAGACACGGAGGTCCTGGCTGCTGTGGCTCAGTGGATTGAGTGCTGGCCGGTGAAGCAAGGGGTTACCAGTTCGATTCCCAGTCAATGTACATGCCTAGGTTGAGAGCCAGGTCCCCAATGGGCAGCACGCAAGAAGCAGCCACACAGTGATGTTCCTCTCCCTCCCTTCCCCTCTAAAAATAAATAAAATAAAGTCTTAAAAAAAAAAAAAAGAGGACACGGAGGAACTGAAGTGTGCTGTGTATTACTAAGGGAAAGGAACCGACAGGAGGTGGCCACCTACTGTACAATCCAGTCATCTGACAGTCTGGAAATTAGAGGCACTAAAAAGATCAGTGGTTGCCAGGGGTTGCGGGGAGGGGAGGGAGGAACGGGCGGAGCAGACGACTTTCAGGGTGGTGAAGCTACTCTGCAGGACACTGCGATGGTGGATGTGTGTCATTATCCATTTGTCCAAACCCACGGACTGCACAATACCAGGAGTGAACCCAGTGTAAACTATGGACTCTGGATGATGTGTCCATGCAGGTTCATCGGCTGTAAATAACGCACCAATGACTCTGGTTGGGGGTGAGGATAGTGGGGGTTTCCCACTACAGTGTATGGGTGGGAAATCTCTGTACCTTCCCCTCAATTTTGCTGTGAACCTAAAACTGCTCCCCAAAAAAAGCTTTTAAAAATATTAAAAAGAAATCAACATCTAAGACTGAAACAGATCCTCTCAAGGCCGACTAAATTCCAGAACATCAAGGGTCAAAGAACTCTAAACTTAGCATTCCAAAAGATCAGACAGACACAGTGCTGTCAACCTGTAACCCTACACCAGCTGAGGTATGGATCCTGCATAAGAGCCCAGTAAAAATCAGGGGAGAAATGCCCAGCAACCCCAGCCAAGGGGAGCCCTCAGGGTGCTGGAGAGAAACAGGCAGGTCCGAGAACAGCCAGCCCCCACGTTACGACTTACGTGGTTTAAACATGCGGCTTGGGAATTCCAGGGGAACTGGGTTAAAGTATTATCGACAGGTAAATAGGAAAAAAAAATCCAAGGATAAAAGGAAGTCGTTTTGGGATTTCCTGTGGAAAACGTAAGACAGTCACTGCTAGGGTCAACTGTGAACAGCTGTTCACTCAGTCATGATACTGTTACTGTCCAAAATGGATGCACTCGTTCACGAGCAGAGAGGTACGGCCCAAGGATGAAAACGGCTGCCCCTAGGAAGGACAGAGACTGCTATTTATGCCTGTTTCATTGTGAAAGCATTCCCTTCACAATGGCATAGGCACCAACGGGTTAAAAGGTTATCTGTGCTGCCCTGATCAGCTGTTTGATTCCCAGGCAGGGCACATGCCTTGTGGGGCACGTGCCAAAGGCAACTGATCCATGTTTCTCTGTCACATGGAAGTTTCTCCCCCTTTCTCAAAAAAAGAAAAAGAAAAAAAAAAAGGCATCTGCACAGAGGGTGGAGGGAACACCTCCAGGTAGAACCCTATGCCTGGGCGTAGCCTCTGCATGCTAGGTCCCTGCCTCTCCGTACTCGCCTGGCTCTGTGAGCCCTGATTATCAACCGGGTCCCTGCCCTCCCCGCTTGGTTTTCACATAGATCAAAGTCTCGGAGCCCCACAGGGTGAAGTAGTCATATTTGGTGGCAGAACCAGGACAGGGATCAGAACCAAGTCTCAGATTTAAGAAACAATGAATATCCAGCATTTGGTGTCTCCCCACTCCAAGCATCTGTGCCCACCCTGCACCTGGTCCAGGGACCCTGGTGACTTCCTGGCCTGTCCCCTCAGCACTGTTGACTGCTTTGTCAGAGGTCCAGACCCAACACAGTATCTGCTATGACATAAAAGTTCGACACTAGCCACCAGAATAGTGCCATGGGCTCTTGGCACAGGTTCCAACTTGTAGGACGCCCAGCCCAGGTGCTCTTTCACCTCTTCC